AAGACAACTCAGAATGGGAGAAGAGTGTGCAAATCGTGTATCTGATAAGGATCTACTATCTGGAATATATAAAGAACTCTTTTAACTCAACAAGAAGACAAATAGTCCACTTTTTTAAAAGGCAAAGGTTTGAATAGACACATTTCTCCAAAGAAGATAATACAAACAGCCAATAAGCAAATAAAAAGAGGCTCAACATCATGAATCATTAGGGAAATGCAAATCAAAACACAGTAAGATACAACTTCACACCTACTAAAATAGCGGTAATTTTTTAAAAAACAGGATATAGGGCCGGGCGCGGTGGCTCAAGCCTGTAATCCCAGCACTTTGGGAGGCCGAGACGGGCGGATCACGAGGTCAGGAGATCGAGACCATCCTGGCTAACCCAGTGAAACCCCGTCTCTACTAAAAAATACAAAAACTTAGCCGGGCGAAGTGGCGGGCGCCTGTAGTCCCAGCTACTCGGGAGGCTGAGGCAGGAGAATGGCGTGAACCCGGGAGGCGGAGCTTGCAGTGAGCTGAGATCCGGCCACTGCACTCCAGCCTGGGCGACAGAGCGAGACTCCGTCTCAAAAAAAAAAAAAAAAAAAAAAAAAACAGGATATAGAAAAATTGGAACCCTCACATATTGCTGGTGGGAATGTATAATGGTGCGGTGTGGAAAACAGTTTGGCAGTTCTGCAGAAAGCTAAACATAATCTCCACATAAGCCAGCAAGTCCATCCCTATGTTGCTGAGGCTGAAGTGTGGTGGCTCTTCACAGGTGCAGTCATAACTCAGCCTCCAATTGGCCTCAAGCAGTCCTTCCAGGTCAGCCTCCCAATTAACTGGACTACAGGCATATGCCATCATGCCCAACTTGAAGAAAAAGAAATATTTTAAAATAAATGTAGTGTAGCCTAAGTGTCCGGTGTCTATAAAGTCTACGGTAGTGCAGTCATGCCCGAGGCCTTCACATTCACTCACCACTCACTCAGTGACTCACTCAGAGCACTTCCCAGTCCTGCAAGCTCCTTTCATGGTAAAGTGCCCTATACGGGTGTACCATTTCTTTATATTTTATGTAAATAGCTTATTTTTACTGTACCTTTTCTATATTTATCTATGTTTAGAGACACAACACTTACTGTTGTGTTACAGTTACCTGGCATATTTAGCATGGTACCATGCTGTGCAGGTGTATAGCCTAGGAGCAGTAGGCTATCCCACATAGCCTAGGTGTGTGGTAGGCTGTGCCATCTAGGTTTGTGAAAGGATACTCTATGACATGCATACGATGATGGAATTATCTATTAATGCATTTCTCAGAAAGTATTCATTAAGTGCTCATTAAGAGATTCCTTACTGTACATTTATATTAAATATAATCAAATTTGATTTACATGGATTAAAAAATCAAATTTTAGAGTTCAGTTCCTCTGTGTGTCAGATACTATGTCAAATACTGAACACACTGTGTACAGCCTGCAGTTGCCACACTGGACAGTGCAGGCCGCCACTAGGTCTGTCACTGCTGTAAGGCAGGGTCTGGAGGCTGCTGCTGTCCTGGTCTTTCACACAGCTCACCAGGTGCCCCAGCATGGCCGCTGGCCTCTCAGAGGGTATGTTGCTAGAACTCCAGCAGCCCTCTCTTAGGACCCAGACCCAGAAGTTGCACAGCATTGATTATGCCACATTCTCGTGATCAAAGTAAGTCATAAGACATTGCAGACCCAGGCAAGGGGAATTTGTACTCCACCTCTCAATGGGAGGTACTGGAAATAATTTGCAGCCATCTTTAAACTATCACAACTCTGTGCCTCAGTTTCCTCATCTGTAAAATGAAGAGGACTGAGAAAGAAAAAGGGCAGCCCCTGCCATCCAGAAACTGGTCGGGGGCTAAAGCTGGGCCACTCTGTTCTGTAAGACTTGAACCATCACGCAGAAAACCAACCTAGGCCAAGGTCACTGAGACACAATGACATGAGACAAAGCAAGGCCACGTCATGATGTGTCTCCACCCAGGTAAAGCGAGGTCACTTGCTGTGCCATTTACAAGACACCCAGCACCCCCTCTCTCAGCTAACGTGAGCGACTGCCGCTTTTGTACCCCTGACAGCCTGTCTGTCTGTGTGCCCCCCTCTCTATATATAGGATTTAGTCAGAAACCTAGTCGTGGTGTTGACTCGATTTCTGGTAAGAGCCAATCCTGGCAAATCCCCGCTTCCTAAGACTCCCCCACCCAACCAAAGCTCAAATTTGATACTCGGTTGTTTCTAATGCCCTCTGCTGAGACACCCTGAAAGTAGCAACAGGACTCCTGGCGAGGGTCAGACGCACCACTTCACCAGGAGGGCTCGAGTCAGCTCAATGTTGTCATTCAGTGGGACTCAGGCAGAGACTTGAACTTGGTAGTCTCAAAGGAGTCCCCCAAATTACAAGGACCACAGAGCTTGCGCCTTGGCCACTCAGACCTGCACTCTCCAGGCTGTGTGGAAAGGAATTTGGAGAAGCCAAGGGAAGGGACACAGATGACACACGCATGCACATTCAGATTTATTTGTGTCTGGGGAGAAATCCCACCAACCCAGGTATCGCTGGATGTCCAGCACCTCTTTTGGGCTAAAAGGGATCACGTGGATCTTGAGATTGCTAACAGAAGTGTCCACGATTCCCAAATTTTGATGGGAGTGGGGATGGGGTTCACGGGGAGCAAAAGATCATCTCTTTGTCAAAGGTCACAAGTTCAAATCCCAGCAGAGGTCATAGAAGTCACACAAATGTGGGAGACAGATGGGCACCAGAAACATAGAATCTCATGCCAAGGGACAAACAGCACGCACACTCTGCCTCACCGTGGGGTCTGTAGGGATTGGAAGGGACTGTGGCCAAGTGTAGAGAGCTAGGCCAGCCCAGAGGGGCCCCCAGCAGATCGCTGCCACAGAGGTAGTGAGAGCATGGTGTCACCTTATATCTTGATTTTCAAAAAATAAGCTTTGGATTTCTCCCAATTTGTAAACATTGGTGACAAAGTCAAGTTTTTTAAAAACAGTACAGACCAAACAAAACACAACTGCAGTCTGAGTGTGGTGCTGTGCTCCTGTGGTCCCAGCTACTTGGGAGGCTGAGGCAGGAGGATCACTTCAGCCCAGGAGTTCAAGGCTACAGTGAGCCATGATTGCACCACTGCACTCCAGCCTTGCTCCAGTGACAGAGCAAGACCCAGTTTCTAAAAAATATAAAAATAAAACATAACTGCAGGTCAAGTCCGGCCCACAGGCCCCTGTGTGGTTGTCTACTCTGGGAAAACTGGAACGGGAGAGTGCACCACTCAGCCGGGCCCTCCCTCCCTGACCTGGGCTTGCCAGCAAGGAAAGCATACAGTTCCCAGGGACCCTGGGTTTGCAGGGAGCAGGGGCTGCCCAGGGAGAGGACCCTAATGCTGCACTACAGGGCCTGAGCCTTTCTCACCACCAACTGTTAAGGCAACTGAACCCTATACTCATCATGGCCAATTGGTTTCTCTTTTAATCATTTTGATGAAAACATTTCTAACTGGACTATACATCCTTGCCTTCTGAAAAAGAAGATGGTACTAGGCACATCAGAAGCCACACTGTTCCATCCATGGCGACTGCAGCTGTGGCCAGCTACCCCAATTCCGCTGTGAGCCCCGTGGGAGTCAGCTGTCACTTCCCACTGCAGCAGCCGACAGCAGGTTGGCATGCAGGGGCCCAGGGAAGTAGCTTGCTCCCTGGCATGGCTTGGGATGGAGCCCAGAGGGGGCCTGGGGTGTGGCTGGAAGCCACCAGAGCCCTGCCTGTCCTTCAAGAGGGAAGGTGCTGGATGGGGAAAGGGTGATGCCAGGGCCCTGCGGCCTGCTCTTAAGATGTGCGCACAGATCCATGCAGCAGGGTCTTCCATGGAGATGTGGGGACAGATGATGCATCCCTACACAGTCTGTCCCATCTCTCTATCTCTCTGTCTTTCTCTCTTTCTCTGTCTCTTCCTCTCTGTATCTCTCTTTCTCTGTCCCTTTCTCTCTGTCTCGCTCAGTGACTCTGTCTCTGTCTTCCTGTCTCTGCCTCTCTCTGTAACACTCTCTCCTCTCTGTCTCTGCCATGGAAGGATGCAGCGAGAAGCTGGCCTCACAGCAATCACTCCAGCTGGCACCTGATCTTGGGCTTCCAGCCTGCAAATGTGTTTCATTTCTGTTGTTTGGGCCCCAGTGCCAGACGTTATGTGGCAGCCGCCCTAGCTGACCAACCTGGTTGCTGTGTTTCCAGGCCCCACATCTTGGTTCTGGCAGGAAGAAGGGGTGAAGGCAAAAAGCAACCCCACTGGATCTGTCCATTTGATTAGAAAAACGACGGCTCTCAAGAAGGCCGGACCCACAGACCCCACCGTCATCTCGTGGGCCAGGACTAGGCCAACAGTCCCTCCTAACAGCAAGGAAGGCTGGAGAATCAGGCGGTTTTCTTACCCTATATTGCTGCCCACACAAAACGAGGCTTTTCTTCACAAGGGAAAGGGGAGAATGGCTACTGGGGAGGAGACGCGGAGTGCAGGGAGGGTGGGGACCAAGAACCCGGCTGGCCTGCCCCTCTCCAGTCCACAGACATGTGGGGTGTCTGGTTTTCTGTGGCCCTCAGAGGCCCACCCCACAGGCTCTTTCTCATTTCTCTGTTTAGGATGAGTTATCTGTTCGTCCGCTGCATGCCCAGCTAAGAGAATGAGATTAATGAGCCATGGCCTTGACAGAGGCCACCTCCCCCATCCCAGTGACCTCCCACAAGGCTCTGGACCCATCCATTGCTGGGCTATGGGATTGGGGGAGGGGTGCCAGACTCCAGCCTCAGGGGCCAACACTCTTCCTGAAGTCTCCTTCGCTGTATCACTCAGGCTGTGTCGGCCTCAGGGGGTGCCCCTGCTTTCTCATTTCTTCCCCAGTAAGTGATCATTTATCCTTAGGGCAGACCTGGTCTGCCTGTCCATCAGCCCACAGTGCAGCACACAGCTCTGTTAAACCCTTTATTTCCCCGTCTATCCTCCTTCCTGAACTCCTCCAGGCCAGCAGCCCAGCGTGCCAAGTGTCCAGAAAGTGTTTGCACAGACAGCAGATGGGCAGCAGACAGACAGAGTTGCATGGAGGCTGGCAGGTGGCCAGGAAGCAGAGGGTGTGATCATCCCAGCCGGAGATAGCTTGGCCAGTGTTCACCGCAGGGCCCCTAGGCAGGCTTGGGACTCAGCCCTAAATGGACTTTGACAGCCTTCAGGGCCCCCAGGCAAGTGGCATGGTCGTGGACAGAGGGCTGCACGTCTCTGGGCCTCGGCGGGCTGTCTGTAAAATGAGGCTGTGGTGGCACCCTGCGCAGGGCACCATAAAGGCCACGTGAGGATGTGCGAGAAGTGCAGGTGGTGCGGGTGTGCAGGAAGGGTGTGTGCCATGGTTGGGCAGGTGAGGATTGCCAGCGAGAAAGAGAGGCAGGGGCCGCGACTCGTGGCTCCCTCAGAGCTGCAGGGCCTGCTGGAGCACCCGCTCATCCTCCACCTCGTGGGGCAGTGTCACCACCAAGCTGCTGTTCTCCTGCATGGTCTGGCAGATGATCTCATAGGCCTTCTGGTTCCCTGACCAGCAACGCCGGGCCACCTGGAGCAAGGAGGGGGAGAGCAGTCCATGTCAACACGCCTGGGCTTCCCATGTGTGTCCTGGCTCCCACACTTGGGGCCTCTCTGCTTCGGGACCTCTGAGGCTGTCCATGGGGCCAGCTGCCCTTTTGTGTCTGCCCCATCTCCACCCCCAGCTTAGGCTCCCCGTCTCTGGCCCTCCTCTGGGATCTGAAACTGGCCGTTATCACACCCAGTCCCGCTCCCCTGGCTCCGAGAATGGCCTCACCTCCGGAGTCCTCCACAGCACCTCCCTCCCTTCTAGAATCCACCTTGACCTGAGCTTTACCTTCACAATCTCCCTGCAGTCTGCTTTCTTCCCTCCACCTGGTCTCCCCTGGACGATGCCACACCTCCTGCCCCATTCCCCACTGCCATTCTTGCCACCCCTGCCCCCACTGTCCACACGGTCCCCACACCTGTGCCCAACCCACTTTTCCATGCCACAGCCGGGGCGTCTCCTAGAACAAAACCTCCTGCTCTGGGATGAAGACCTCCAGCCCCAGCCCTGCCAGAAGCCCTGCAGCTCCCGGTGAGTCGGGGCGAGTCTCCTGCCAGCGCCCTCTTTGTCCTCATGCTCACACTCTGGGCCCAGCCCAGGGACTCTTAGTCACCCAAACTATCTGAACTCCCGCCTTGGCTCCAAGCCTCCCCTCATTCTCTGGGTCCCACCTGTCTCCCCATCATCACCTCACCTGACCTCCATTTGAGCTGATTCCCCCTTCCTGGCTGCTGTGCTGTGGTCATGAGAGGAATCTGGCCCCTGTCCCCCCACCCAGGAGATGATATATAACAGCAAACGTGGATGGGGGTCACCCAACTGAAGGCCCTGCCTTCAGGAGGTGGCGAGGACTGGGCTGACTTACACCATTAGAGACGTCCCAGCTGAGCATCAGCCTGGCTCTCTGCTCGGCCTCTGGGGTACCGTCCAGCACCAGGCCGAATCCCCCATTGATCACCTCACCCCTGTAGGAGGCAGAGGAGTTTCCAGTTCAGTCCTTGGGCCCAACCCCGCACAGAGCAGGCAGAAGCCCATGTTTTGGAAGCATTGGCTTGAGACAGCATCAGGGTTGGGGCCGCCACACTGCCGGCCTCTGCAGCCTGGTGGATGCAGGAGTCATGTAGGCAAGCAGAGCTGAGAGCAGTGTGGCCACGTGCCGCCTCTCTGTCCACTTGTGCCCCCTGTGCTGGGCCCGTCGGCCTCGTGTCCACTTCCAGCACCCATTGGAGGTCACCCCTTGATGGAAACCTCCTGGGCACCCCCGGTGGGCTATAGCTGCCCACTCCCTGCATTCTCAGGGTGCTGCCCTATAAAGCACGCTCCCCTTGGTGTGTCTTGTGTTACTCAGTTCAGTCGTCACTCTTTCTGGTTTTATTTTTAAAAACTATTTTTTTTAGAGATGGAATTTCGCTATGCTGCTCAGGATGACCATGAAATCCTGGCCTGAAGCAATCCTCTTGCCTCAACCTCCCAAAATGCTGGGATTAGAGGCGTGGGCCTCTGTGCCCCGCCTGATTTTATCCTTATGATCTTTATCTTCCTTATCTCTTCTTTCTGCTTGCCTCAAGTGTATGGTGGGGTCCTTCTGATTACCTGATCTGAAGGCTAAGTTCCTTTATTTTCAATATTTCTGATTTTCTAATTAATGCATTTCTCTCCCTCTAACAGTTTTGATATGTTCTTGTTTTCATTTGTTTCCTAATAGATGAGTTGAACAGATGAGTTTCCTAATAGATGAGAAGTGTGTTGAAGCTCTGCCGCTGTTTCCGTACATGTGCACTGCAGCTGTTCCCCATCAGCCTGGGATGGCCCTCCTCATCCTCAGCCATCCACCTACGAGCTGCTGCCCTTGAAGGATCCAGCCTTGGCTCCTGCTCAGTCTTCTCAGCTTTCAGTCACACACAAGAAGCACCCTTGATTTTGTAAACGCCTGTCATTGTGTTGTTGCAAACGTGTCCCTCCTGCCTCTTAGTCCTCACTTGCAGTATATCTGTTCCTTTTTCTTCCAGCACCCAAAATGTGCATCTGGTTTCCCTTGTCTCACATCCTTCAGGCCCATCTGGCTTTCCCTGCTTCTCTGCTCAGCCTGAATCCTACTGACCACAACCTCAACCAGTTCTCACCAGGAAGCCGGTGAGAGGTGCCCTGTGCCCCTTGCAGCCACCTGCACTGCCCATTCCTGGTCCCAGAAGCTGCACCCCTCCTACGAGTGAGCCAGCCCTGCTGTCTACCATGCTGCACTTGCATTCCTGCACCTGGGCAATCCGTGCCCTGCAGTGGGTTGCCCTCACACTTCCCACCAGCCTCCAGGTGGGAGGGTGCTCTGAGTCGATCTAAGGTCATTGCCATTCATCTGTCAGAGGAGCAACAGCCATGCCCAGGCCTGAGCACTCCCAGTGTCCCGCAGCTGGAGAGGCCTCTTAGAGATTAGAACTACAGATTTTGTTTTAGAAGCCTGCATCCCAGAGGGTCAGAGACCAAGGCCACTCAGCTACAGGTGACCTTAGCAAACTGACCACAGAGGAGCCCTGAACTTGCAGATCCCAGGAAAATGGGAATGCTAACACATTGCTATTAATGGCGAATTTGGGGTAACTCACAAATGGTGTTGGAACAACTAACTATACCTTTGGGAAAAACATGAAAGTAGAAAAACATAAATGCCAGATGTATTAAAGTGCATGATTCGATGAGTTAACATATATGGATAGTTTAGAAGGCCTTGCACATGTTACACTCTACAAGTGTTAGCTATTATTAGCTCATTTCCTCTTCACCCCTAGCCTACAAGGCAGTTACTATTATTATGCTTATTTTCTCATTGAGAAACAAAGGCACAGCAAGGCTACCCTGTGCAGGCAGATGGCCTGACAACTGCTGTCAACTATGGCACTCCAGGGCTGTCCATTGGGGCATCGCAGAAGGCATGTGGGAGGGTGGGGGAGGGCTGTGTGCACAGACAGGGCCCTGGAAGCTCTGGCTACTCAGAGAGGTCCTTGGGGCAGAGGATCAGCGTCACCAGGAGTTTGCTGGAAATGCTGAATCTCCATCCCACCCCAGACCTGCTTTTCTTTCTTTCATTTTTCCTTTTTTTTTTTTTTTTTCTTGTAGAGAGGGTGTCTCACTATGTTTCCCAGGCTTTACTCAAACCTCCTGGGCTCAAGTAATCCTCCTGCCTCAGCCTTCTAAGTAGCTGGGACTATAGGCATGCACCACCAGGCCTGACTCAGACCTGCATTTTTACAATAATCTGCATTTTAATAATATCCCCAGAGGATTTCTGTGCACATTCAAGTTTCAGATGCACTGTAAGACATTGTTTAGTGTGAAAAAGTGGCAGTATCCAGATATAGAATAAATGGTGGATAGAACATAGCCATCTACCCTTGCCCCTCCCGCATCTCACCAACAAAACTGCAGAGGAATTATTTAACCCACAAGGATGAGGAGAAAGGGACAGGAGAACGGGTGAAGGGATTCTGAAAGCTAGAGGCAGGCATCAGAAAGCTCCAGCTCAGTGTGGCCATGGGAGGGACCAGCAGAACCCATTGGCGCCCCAGGACCCAGGGAACCCCAGGAGTTGGTGGTCAGCACCAAGGGGCTCCGAAGGAGGGCAAGAGCAGGGGTAAAGTCGGAAACACCGGCTGGAAGCCTGCTCACCTGAGGTGGGCTCCCAGCTGCCCACCCACCTGCTGCCTAGAGGCTGCCTGAGCGGGCCCTCGGTGGCCACTGGAACTGACCCTCTCACATGTGAGGCTGCAGCACCAACGGGGAGGCCTCACCCCTCTCACTGGGTCCTCCCAATAGGGAAAGGAGATCAGAAAAGTCTTTTTTGAGGTCCAACCAACCCAAGAACAACAGCCTGGCTCTTGTCTTGATCTCTTGTACTCTGTGGCCCAGCCAGATGGCCCTGTCCTGCAGCCTGTGGTCCAAACGTCCACCTGAGCATGCAGGGCTGCAGCCAGCCGAGCAGTGCCCTATCTAAACCTGAGCGCTGGGCAGATGGCACAAAGACAGGTGGCAAACGGGCAATCAGGAAGAGGGCTGCAGGAGACAGTGGCACAGAGGAGGCTAGAAACAACACACAGCTGTCACTGGTTGTCCTGGAGTGGAGCCAACAGACAAGCGGAAACACGGGAAGTTCAGTCCAGGAAGGTGAGGGTGAGTGCACAGCCTAGAAACAGGGATCAATGCGCAGGAAGGAGAAACGCTGCAGAGTTGCGGGGGGTGGGGCGTCCCCTTGGAGTAGCCACAGTGGGGATGGAATCGGGAGTGGCATCCCTTTCAAGTAGCCACGGTGGGGACTGAGCTGGGAGTGGCGTCCCTTTGGAGTAGCCATGGTTGGAGGATAGACGTTTTTTTCCGACGAGTTAGATTATGTACATGTGTAAGTGTGATGGGTCCCAGAATGAATTTGTGGCACTTTCCCAAAAGACCCCTCAAGGGCAGCAGGGTAAAAGGTCCCAGTATCTGGTCAGTCTGTGTCCCTGTCCATAGAGTCTGGGGCAAACCTTGGGGGAGCAACTTAGGAATTTGCAGGGAGCATTACCTGTCTTGGGGAGCCCTGAGGGCAGGGTCAGTTGTGCACTGTGTCTGCCTGAATTCTGGCCCTGCTGTCCCTGCCCTAAGGCCCTCAGGTTATGCCCTCTTCCTCAGCCTGCCCAGCCCTGTCCCTTCCTGCCTTCGGCTGTCTGTCAGCAATAATAATGGATCCTGGGGAACCTGGGGTCAGACCCCGGCTCCATCGCCAGCTCCGTGGCCCTGGGCAAACTGCTCAGCCTCCTTCAGAGCCACTCTCTTCCCCTCCAGAAATGACTCAGGAAATCCTGCACAGAAATGCCAGCTACCCAATGGCCAGGCAGCCCTTTTCTGCGCGGAGCTTTCTACAGCCCGTGTGTCGGAAAGGACATGGCCTTAGTCACATTTTCCTCCAATTACAGCCACCTGAGTGCCACAGCACGGAACCGCAGCCTCCAAGGACACGAGGCCAAGCCAGCCTGTTGGAATGCTCCGCCAGGACTTGGCTCTGGAGGGTAGGGGACCACTAGACCCAACCAAAATAGGCTCAGAGGCCAGTCTGGAGATGGCCAATGGAGCCGGGCAGGGGGCGCTGTCCTCCCTCCGAAGCTGCAGCACCCCTTGCTGCTCCCCGCAGCCCAGAATCCAGCTTCAACCAGGAGCCCAGACCTGGGCACCTTTTCTCATAGAGCCCAGCTGGGCAGGGGCAGAGCTGGGAGCCGAGGGGAGAGGGGAGCTGAGACCTCAGGTCTCCTGCTCCCAGCCCAGCTACCCTGGGAGCCTCAGCTGGGTCTTGCACTCTCAGGTGAGGTGGTCAGAGCAGGGAACAGAAGACCCTGGCCATGAAAGCACCGGGAATTCCATGGGAACACATGGAAACTGACACACTGGAAACTGACGTGAGGAGGGTGGCTGCCATTCTTGCAGAGCCTCTGTAAGAGGCCTCCGAGACCCACGCGGCAGGGGAGATCCAGAGAGGTGGGGTAGCTAATGCAAGTCCCCTCCTGAAGTTCTGTCATCTGTCTCCGCTCACACAAGGAATACATTTTCCACAAGGTGCTGGCAGGGGAGGTGACCAGGGAGGTAGGGCCCAGGACTTCAGGTACCTCAGCCTGGCCCTGCCCCAAGGAACCCCCAAAACTTCCACATGAGCCCATACCCTGTCCTCTGAAACCTTCTTACCAGCCCACGCCCCCTCCGTTGTGAAGGGCAACCCAGGTGGCTCCGCGACAGGCGTCTCCCACGAAGTTCTGCACAGCCATGTCTGTGGAAATAGAGATGCCTCCGCTCATCACCCCCTGCACTGGGTGGGCGCCGGGCTTAGTCAGGCCAGCCTCGGGTGGGGGCATCGGCAGGCCCCGCTGGCTAAGCCAGCACTGCTTGGCTGGAAGGATGGGGCGGCAGCTAGGCCCTAGGGACGGCGCCTCTCACAGCAGCAGTCATGTGTGCTGGCAGAGCCAGAGCTGGAGCAGGAGAAATTGACACATGCCTAGTTGTCCCATGGTGGAGCTCTCCAGCACTGAGCGCCAGGTAAAGCACTCCGGAAGCAGAGAGAACAAAAGAATTAAAAGGGATGTGGAACCAGTGTTATTCAGATAAGCAGAGTGCCAAAGAGAGTCACTCCTACTCTTAAAAACGGGGACAGAGGAGCAAACTGCAAATGAATGGCTTCCCTTGACCCCATTAGGGAACTGAGGTCCCAGGACAACCATCCAACCTGAAACCTGGGGAGTGAGAGCATCTGCAGAGAGAAATAGAGGCCAAGTCGGTCACCTTGTAAGTGTTCAACACGTTGCTAAGGGACAGGCGTGGGCCAGCCTGAGACCGTGAGCCCCTGGGTGGACAGAGATAAAGGTGTTTGCACAGTCTTGCAGGCTCTTCCCCTCAAAACCCCAATGGGTGCCACAGAGAAGATCAGGGAGAACTCTAAAAATATCCCCCTCCTCTTGGTGCTGGGCTGTGAAGATGGGGAAGAGATCAGGAGCCAAAAAACGCAAGAAATACAGCTCTAGGATCTGGAAAGGTAAAGAAAAAGCTGGCTGCCCACAGCCTGAAGGTCACCCACGTCCAGGGCAGCCTGCTGGCCCGGTGTACCTGGCATTCGCCGGTTTTACAACTGGAAGTCCCACATCCCAGACCCCCTCAGTCCTGGGTTGGTCACGCTATGCTGAGCCTCTCAGATGCCAGAACATCTTTCGAAACATTGTGACTGACTGAATGCATCAATTTTTAATAAAATCCAAATCTAAAATGAAAGTTTAAGACATTTTCATCTTCCTCACCTGCACAGAAGGCAGAACCATCGTAAATGTTGGAGGTCTCCCTAAAGGGGCTGTCAGTGCCACTCACGTCATGGTGGTCTCGGCTCAGGACCACCGGCGCCTGTGCGTGAAAGGACAGAAGCTGTCAGCCAACAATGTCCAACATGGCTGCCTGGTAAAGGCTGAGGACAAGGGGCAGGCCACACTAGAACTCGCTGGATGTCTCCCCCTGGAAAATAGACCCTTTTCACAACTATTTCTGATGTCATCTGTAGCTTGGAATAGATTCACATGTGTCCGGCAGCACTCGTGTGTAATACATGTGTGAGCTCACCGAGCACTCACAGCCACCCTGTTCAGATAGGCACAACTGTTATCATGCCCACTGCATAGGTGAGAAAGCGGAGGCACAGAGAGGAGAAGAAATTTCCCCTACATCACAGAGCGAGTGAGTCGTGAGCTGGGATTTAACTGGCTACTTGTTATGTGCTGGTGCTCCTCGTCTTACGACAGGGCTACATCTTAATAAGCCCATTGTACCCTAAGTAAAAAATGACTTAGAGTATTTTTAACTTACGATGGGCTCATTTGGACACAACCCCATTGTACATCGAGGACAGTACTAAACAAGTGTCGCTTCGCACCATTGTAAAGCAGAAAAATTGTTAAGTCCTAGTGTCTGCTTAGTCTGGGCTCAAGCCTCAGGCAGCCTGGCCCCTGACCTGTGCAATAGAGACATGGCTGGCTGATGACCTGGAGGTGTTGGGGGACATCACTGGGGGAGTATTTGGCAGCACCTACCAAGAGACCTTGGGCAGGTCACTTCCCTCTGGGAATAGCTCTTGGTTTCCTGGACAAGGTAATTGCTAAGAGCCTTTTTGTGCTACCAGTCTCTGTGAGGACAAAGACTTTTCGCACGGAGAAAGCACTCACACTGAGTTTGATTTTTTAATACGCTCATCGGCAGCACTCCCTGTTCCCCAGGAATCTCTGGCTGCTCAGATACCCAGGAGAGGCAGCTGGCTGCTGCTTAGCCCCGGCGAGATGGTTGTCGTGCAGCCCTGGAGGTCAGGTAGGGCTGTGGCTAAGGGCAGGTCAGCTGGCTCCCCTATGCTGTGCACAGGCAGGCCCGCTATGAAAAGGAGTCCTGGCCAGGCACAGTGGCTCATTCGTGTAATCCTAACACTTTGGGAGTCCAAGGCGGGGAGATCACTTGAGGTCAGGAGTTCGAGACCAGCCTGGCCAACATGGCAAAACCCCGTCTCCACTAAAAATGCATAAATTAGCCGGGTGTTGTGGCGCAAGCCTGTAATCACAGCTACTCAGGGGGCTGAGGCATGAGAATCACTTTAATTTGGGGGGCGGAGGTTGCAGTGAGTTGAGACCCCACCTGGGCTGCGGAGTGAGACTTTCTCCCGAAAAACAAAAAAAAAAAAAACAAAAAAACAAAAAAAAAAAAAGAGAGAGAAAAGAAAATGAGTTCTAACTGGCAATTTAAGAAACAGAGTGAAGGAACTGGGAGGAGCCCTGGCTAAAGAGAAGGGGTAGGGGGAGCCATCTGATACTCGGCACAGGGAGCGTGTCAGCCTGGCTCTGCACGGTTCAGTCAGGAGAGGGAGCAGGCAGGTCAGTACCTGGTTCGCAGTGTACCTGGGGAGCAGCCCAGCTATTCCAGCTAAGTAGTCCTATTCCCATCACCAGGCCCTGCCAACTTTTCTCCCAAGTGTCCCATAAAACAGATAGGGCTGGTTGATGGGCATGAACTTCTCAATCTCCCCAGGGGATCCCGAAATTTCACAGGCCCCCTGTGCCAGAGGATACATCCTGCCAAAAGCCTGGGATGCCCTGTGCTCCCGAATGAAGAGGCCCACCTTTCCCTCCTTCGACAGGCCAGGCCTGTTCCCATGTCTTCACCTGTGCAATGAAACCACCTTCCCCCAGATATCCTGACACTTTCTGGCCATTCAGGTCTCAGCTCAATGTCAGTAACTCAGAGAGGCTGTCCTGACGACGACTCTTCGCCATGTTCATATCCTGCATGCCGCTCCTCACCCTCCGAAACCCTGTCTCAGTGTGTACCTTCAGCTTTGCGTCAATCACCCTTCACCACACTACACAGGTCTGTCTTGTTCTCTGCTATGTCCCCGGGGGTTAAGACATGCTGCACAGCGGCCGCGCTCAGCCCAGCACTGTCCGGTGAATGAACGCATGCTTACTGACCCGTTTCTGCCAACCAGCTGACCGCAGCCCGGGGCCAGTGCGCCTAGAACTTCCTAGCAGTCCCCGGGAACACCTGGGCTTCCAGGAAGCACTGGGTGGGTGTGTTTGGCTGTGCCCAGCAGGGCTGGCTGCTGCCTTTGCTGCCGGTGCCACCCCCAGAATCATGCCAGGGTGGCCTTCACACCTCTGTCCCAATGTCTATCTTACATCTGACCAGTAACATTCCTGGCACTTCTGAAAAGAGAGACCCCCACAAGAACTCTGTGGCAGGAGGAGCCAGAGTCCTTCGGAGCAAGCACGCCCAGGGTTCCGTCCTGGAGGCAGGCCTGGCTGATTGGGAGCAAAATGAGCAAAAGCTAGGGAAGTTTGCCATTGCTTGAGAAAAGGGAGTTCCATAAAGATGTGTAAAGTTACTTTGTGGAGGCTGACTCACTCAGTCCTCACACACACGCTTTTTATTCTCTTTTCACAGAAGAGGGAAACCAAGGCTCAGAGAGGGCCCCGGACTTGCCCAAGGTCACACAGAGGGAACAATGATGGGGCCTGACACACACAGAGTAGGGTCCCCAGACACCTCCCCCAATCCCAGATTATCCCCAGAGGGGCCTTGGAGCCCCTGAGCCACCTATGCTCCAGGGAGGTTACCTCTTTCGAGCACTGCTCCTGCTCCTCCAGGCCCTGCTTCCCACCACCCCCTCACGGCCGCCTCACCCTTGCCTCCCCAATAGAGCCCTTCTACCCAGCTGGTCCCAGGGACCAAAGCCTTCAGCAAAACCTGATCTCCCTAAAGAGGCGGAAGTTTGGGCCTCAGCTGTGGGAGGGCTGAGCTCCCGGGAGGGGCTGGTCCACTGCTCCTAAGCACTGGGCTGCTGAGGCCCAACAGGAGTGTCATCCCACCCAGAAGGCTGTGGGGTGCAGCCGAGGCACAGGCGGGAAGGCCCAGGGCAGGAAAGGCAGTGGGAAGAGGTTAAGGGATGCTTCCCCTGGAGCACAGGACACCTCACCTTGATCCTCCTGCAGGCGATGGCCTGGTTAATGGCTACAGCGATGGCCACACGGCCCTTCTGGTCTGAGTACAGGATCCTTGCCTGGGAGCCCACCACCTGAGAAGGGAAGGGCGACAGGCGTCTCAGCTGACACAGGCAGCAATACCAGGACCTGATGGTGCAGGGAGACGTGGGTGGCACTTCCACCGTGGGACATGGCCCTTGGCAGCCTGAGTGCCTCTCTAACAAGGTCCAGGAGGAACCCCAAGGTGCATGGTAGCTCTCAAATCTGTGACCTGAGGTGAGCCCCCACATTCAGCCCACTAGACAGCCACACCAGCCCCACATGTCCACCGCAGTCTGGGCCCCCAGACACCTTCCCCCAATCCCAGATTATCCCCGGAGGGGCCTTGGAGCCCCTGAGCTATCTGTGCTCCAGGGAGGTTACCTATTGCAAGCACTGCTCCTGCTCCATCCCACAGTGATGACATCAACACCACCCAGGGCAAGTTTGCATCTGGCCTGCTCCCCTCTCAGTATGCTACACAGCCTCTCGGCTGTGAGTCTTATGGGAATATACTGTCATCCTCATCATAAGCTCCATTTTCCAGGTGAGGACACGGCCCCGAGAGGTGGAGCCACCTGTCCACAGGTTGTCTGTCTGTCTGCCGCACCCAGGAGCTCAGCCACCCAGTGATTGCCTCTCCTGGCAGTAACGGGTGGTTGTCCCCGGGAGACAAAACTTTAGCGCATGAAATGAGTTGCTATGTAGCTCTGCGGTCCTCAAGCCGGATGACATTTGGCAATGACTGAAGACATTTTTGGGTGCTGCTGGCATGGGTACGGATGCTGCTAAACACTGTACAACGGCCCCCATGATGAAGAAGAAGCCCCAAATGACTCCAAGAGATACGTGCACACACATGTTCACAGCAGCATGACAATAGTCGAGAGATGGAGGCGACCTGGGTGTCCAGCGCGGTGCACGGATGAACCAAATGTGGTCTGTCCGTACAGTGGAATGTGATTCAGCTTTAAAAGGAAGGAAATTCCGACCCATGCCATAATATGGATGGACAAAAGGACAAACACTTCTGATCTCGCTTATATGAGGTTGTTGAGTGCCAGGGTCTGTGGGAGCAGAATGGGGAGTTAGTGTTTAATGGGGACAGAGTTTTGGTTTGGGAAGATGAAAAAGCTCTGAGATGGATGGTGGTGATGGCTGCACAGCAGTGTGAATATGCTTGAAGCCACTGCACTGCAGGCCCAAAAATGGCAAAGATGGTTAAGATGGTAAATTTTATGTTTATGTATAATTTACCATAATTAAAGAAAATTTATCCAGCCCCAGATGTCAGTACGCCGAGGCTGAGAAACCCTAGTTTCTCCAAAGAAGATGCAGGTGTCTGCCCCAGCTGCTGGCGAGCTCGACCAGGAGCCAGTTAAAAGGCGGCAGAGCCGGTAAAAGGCGGCAAGTCCGGGCCACAGAGGCAGCTGGGCACCTGGCTGCGAGCTCAGCTTTGGCTGGGACAGTGAGTCTAGCTGCTTCTTCCTCCCTCATGGGTTCCTAGAGAACAGCCTTATTCTACTCACACCAGCTGCCTCAAATCCTTTTCGGAAAAGCTACTCGTGTGAATCGGCACTGCAGAGATTTTCAGATTTTTTTGGATCCAGAAAAAAATTGGCGAGGAACTGACATAGGATTGCCCACTTTGTCAAGAGTGTACATTAAAAGAAAAGAAATCAAAAAATTTTTAAAGGCAACCTTCTGCAGCCCCCGTTCAGAAGAGAAACAACAGTAAGTATTAGGAGGCACACAATCGCTAGAGAGCTTTAAGTCAAAGCAGACGCACCCTGCTGGCAGCTCCAGCTGCAGCTCCACCCCTTACACCCTCAACTCTGGCACTGCCCGAGGCCCCTTCTCAGCCATGCTGGCATCCTCTCAGGCTATCCCCCTCTCTTCTCCACCCCATCTCTGCATTGACCCCGCAGCTTCAGCCTCCAAGTCTTGGCCTTGGCATCTCTGAATCCTCACTGCCACAGAGATGCTGTTGGCATAGGGGCTCTGAGGCTGGATACAAATGCAAACCATTGCGCACAGATGAGACAGCCCAGGACGGGGGCAGGCGCCTCCTGGCCCTGGGACTCCTGGGCTAAGACCCACTAGTTCAGACACGGTCCATGGCCAAAGGTGAATGAACAAAATGCCCACATTTTTTTTTCCATTTTGTCCTCAGTACACCCAGCCTGCTGCCACCGTGGGGCCTGTGCATAGGCTGGTCCCTCTGCCTCACCCAATTGTCACGTGGTTGCCACCCTTTCTGCATGTAGACCTGGACGCACATGTTGGACCCCTTCCCTGGCCACTCTGTGTGAGGCAGCTCCACCCACTCCTCCCTGCTGGTGCTTTCCGGAACACACACCCAGCAGAAACTGGGCAAGACACATCTGTCAACTCAGCCCCACAATGCACCACTTGTACAAGCAGGGCCACAGGGGCCTGCTCCAAACACTGCCACTGCCGTCTCCACTTTGCAGATGAGGGTGTGGTGCTCAGAGAGGCTGAGCTACTCACCCCAGGTTACACGGTTGAGGATATGGGAGGCTGCTCAGGTCCAGGCACCCTGGCTCTAGAGCCCAAACTCCTTCCTCTGCCGGGCTGCCTCTATTTGTTGAGTAACGGGATGAAGAACGACCTGCCCAACTCTGGTCACTGCCCCAGAGCCCCAGGCCACTTCCCCCTCTAGGTTTTAAATTATAAAACATACATTACATAAAATGTACCATCTTAACCATTTCTAAGTACACCGTTTAGTGGCATTAAGTTGATTCATAATGTAAAACCATTGCCCCATCCATCTCCCCATTCCTCATCCTCCAGCCCCTGGCATCCACCATTCTGCTTTCTGCCTCTATCAATTTGACTGCTCTAGGGACCTCATAGACAGGGAACCATGCGGTGTTTGTCCTTTTGTGACTGGGTTTTTCACTTAGCATGGTGTCCTCCAGGTTCATCAATGTTGTAGCGTGTGTCAACACTCCCTTCTGTGTGAGATATTCCATCTCATGGTTACCCACACTTTGTTTATCCCTTCATCCATCAGTGAACACCTGGGTGGTTTCCACAGCTTAGCCATTGTGAATAGTGCTGCTGCGAACATGGGCGTGCAAGTATCTCTCTGAGTCCTTCCTTCCAATTCTTTGGGCTACACATCCAGAAGTGGAATTGCTAGGTCACAGGGTAATTCTATTTTTGATTTTTTTTGCAGATGCTTCCTCTTGTTTTCCATGTGGCTGCACCATTTCACCAACAGTGCACAAGGGTTCCAAATTCTCCATGTCCTCTCCCAAGCCACCCTTTAATGGCCCTGGGCTTCTTTCTCCAGCGCTTCCCCTCCCAGTGTGGCCACCATGGGGCTGGCACAAACAGTCACACGGGATCTGGTGTGTGCACCCTCTCAGGGCTTGGCAAGCTGGAGGCCGTGGACCAGGCTGAGCGCCCATTGGCAGCACCTCACCTTTGGCAGTCTCCTGACAGCACAGCCACCCCAGCCTCCCCCAGGCCTGGGCCCTCACCAGCTGGTGCCTGGCGGCCTCCCGGATCCAGCGGATGTTGTCCATGTATTGCAGCTTCACAGACGCCTTCACTGCAAGGGAGAGGAGAGCAGGCATCAGAGACCCTCCAGGGGCACAGACCCGCCCTCAGGCAGGCTGCTCAGCTCAGCATAGACCCTGCCCTGAGCCCACCACTGAGCCAGGACACAAGGCGAGGGAGCCCACCCCACCCCACCCCTGCCTTTCTGAACTTGGGGGCCAGCAGTGCCAATGGTCCCATGAATTAATGCACAGCCGTGCAACCCACTGCCTGATGCACTCGGTCCCCTCCACAAATAGCTATTCAGTGCCTACTGTACACCAGCACTGAGCAAGGCACCAGGAACAAAGACCACTGTGGGCTGTGAGGAACACAGGACCGTGGGGAGGGGCCCCCAGGGTGGTGGGTGTGAGAGCTCTCTGAGGAAGTGGCCGTCAAGCTGAGTCTAAAGGCTGGGAAGGAACCGGACAAGGAAGCTCTAAGGGAACAGCATTCCAGGCAGAGGGAACAGCCAGCACAAAGGCCCTGAGGTGGAAATAAACTTGGCCTATGTAGGAGCTAGTTGGCCAAGCTCACGGAGGATGTGTGTGTGTGAGGGGGCACGGGAGCCTGCCTGACCACCTCGTGAAAGCAGATTGGTAATTTTCCAGAAATTGTGTGAGCCAGTGGTTAACACAAATATCATTAAAATTTTAAATAAGTTCACACTTTTACCAAATTATACTAAAAATGAAGGTAATAGAAATCCCTCACTCCTGTGACTTCACAGCTGTTGACGAGTATCTGCCTGGTGGAGATGCTGCAGGGTGTGCACTGCGGGCACGTGGAGCTAGGTCAGCATGCCTGGAAACCAGCCAGGCCTGGAGTCTTTACACCAGGGTCCTCGCGGGTGCAGCAGCTCAGGGCTTCTTTCTGGAGGGCTGGTCGTTCCCCACTGGCTGCCTGCTGTTCTCACACCAGGAAAGCCCAGGAGACATCTGACCAGACCCCCAGGAGAAGGCCCCTGCTTCCCCTGCCCTCCTGCCTGGGCCGCTGCCCACCTCCTCCTCCACAGGTGACCACCTGTCCCCTCTGCCTGGCTCTCCTGCCCTGCGTCTGTGTAACCTGGACCCCTGCTCAGCCCACTGAACCTGGCAGGCAGCAGGGTGGGTGCGGGCCCTAGAGATGTGAAGCACACAGCAGAGGCTGGTGACCCACACAGAAAAGCCACCCAACCTGCAGGAAAGATGCAGAGAGACCAGGGTAAGAACTGCAACAACGGGGGAAGTGTCATAAAACAACCACGAAATAACAATGTCAGACCCACTCAAAAAGAACAAAGGAGCACAACCCTCTGGCAGAACCAACACTCAGCATCAGCAAAACCCAGGATGAACATGGGGGACCCTGATGCAGAGGAGACCCTTGTGGACCTGGCAGGCGTGGAAGGTTGGCGGGAGCATGTGGAGGCAGCTTCATCACAGAAGGCAGCAAGAAGGAACTAGAAGCACTGCTGTCAGCACTGCCCTGGCCACGTGGAGGGGGAGGCTGGGTCTGAGAGGAACTGTGGCGTGCTGAGCGCTGCCCAGCAACCCTGGCCCCTGCCACTGCTGCCTGGCCACCCTAGCCCTGGACCATCCTGTTTCACCCACTTTGAAGGGCTTTCTGTCACTCACAGTCAGAGGTCCTCACTGGCAGAGCCCAGGACAGCTCTGGAGGGCAGAGGCTTGGTGGTGGGAACTGTGCCTCCATGACTGAGAATGACACTTGGGGACCAGGATCTTTGCAACTCACTCAAGTTTCTTTGAGTCCCTTTGTGTTGCCAGCTGAGCACCCACCAGACTCACAAAGTCATCTGCACCCAGGTTCCCTCCCAGAATTAGCTAGGTGGGCCTGCTATGGAAGCTTGTCGCTATGGAGGCAGGAGCTTTGGGGGCCACCCACCCATGGGCACCCCCACCAACAGCATCACCTCCATTAGCGATGGCTTCCTCCAGCACAGATGTGGCCAGTTCGTCGGTGACTGCCAGGTCCTGGGGGTCCCCTGATGTGCAGACCCAGCGGAAAGGTCCAAATCCCTGGGAGAATATGTCCCTGCAAGCACAGATGCCTCCTCACCCTGGGCCCACTGGCTTGGGCGGGGGAGGGGTGCAGGTGTGAGCACACCAGGGAGGAGGGCTCAGTGTCCAGAATTGGGGTGTGGAACCCCCTAAGCTGCCATTGGACAGAAAGTTCCAGGGGCCTCCCTGTCCCCTCTCTGTGTCCCGGTGCCCCCAGGCCTCCATCCCTGCCTCCTGGTTGTACCATCTCTAGCCACAGGAACAGGGAGCCGGGACCTGGGCAAACAGAAATGTCCCCAATTGCTGTTACAGATGACAAGAAAATCTGTCACCTAAAAGTGACAGTCACATTGAGAGGAGAGTCACCCTGCGGCGGTGGTCTTGGGGAATTCGGCCTAGGTGAGCTTATCTTCCCAGGCAGGGCTGTCCTGGGGGGAGGATGCTGTGGCCTGGGCCCTCCCTGGGCTTCTGCACTTGCTGGGCCAGGGGGCGCCTCCTCCTGGGCAGCCCTCCCTCTCCGGAGAGTGCCGGCTGCCAGTGCTCAGCCCCTCCCGCCTCTGCACCCCACAGTGAGCCTGACGGTGAGTGGCATTTGCCTTTCACACCTCCATCTCTCTCTGGTCCCACGTGGCACCCACTGAGGACTGGCACATCTTCCAAAAGTCATGTGGCCCCTCCTGCCCACAGCAGAAAGCCCAGGTTTCTCAGCCTCGCCCAGGCTCCTCTCTGGCTCCTGCCCTCATGCCCTGCTTGTCCTGGGCTGCTGGCCCTCCCCAGACCTGCCCCCCATGGCCAGAGAGGCCCACGACCCCCAGGGCCACAGCAGGTGCTGGGCTTCATGATCCAGCCATCAGCTGCCCACAAGGGCCTGTGAAGACACACCCATGACGGCCTGTGAAGACGCACCATTCAGGGGCAGGTGTTTGCCAGGAAGTGGCCTCGGCCTCTAGGGCCGGCAGCCCCCTGTTCTCGCTGAGGCCCTGCAGGAGGTGTCTCTCGTCTGGATTTCCTCCTCACCTGCCTGTCTGTGGTGGAAAACCCACGAACGGAGCCTGGCCACTTTGGGGCGGTGTGGAGGTCTCAGCGCATGACCTCAGGGGCAGTCAGAGGCTGAGGCTTCTCCAACCTAAATACCCAGGACCCAGACCCTGAAGGGGGCAGGGGCAGCACTGAGCACACTAGATGTGGCAGCTGCCCGTCACTCACCCCATGATGTGCTGCACGTAGGAAGGGTAGCGGAACTCTGTCCTGCCAGCACCTTTCTTCTCCACATCCGCTCCTGTGGGCAGAGCCTGGACAGTCACCGCCCAAGGCAGGACACCCACGGCCACCCTAGATGGCAACTTAAACACAGGGCCCAGTGGGAGGCTGGGGAAGGACCCACGAGGTCTTTTTCAAGTGAAAGAAGAGAAAAGCAGGGGCAGCCGTGGCCGGCATGCCGCCATCTATGTGGCCGAGCGCAGGATGCATGTGCTTGCCATGGATGCCGCGTCAGCCTCCAGCGCGCCACAACCCGCCACCTGCAGGGAGGTGGACAGGGTTGGGGGACTTCCCACTGTGGACACTGTGGCTTTTCAACCTCATGCCCCGTCAAAGAATTGCCCATTTTACGGAAGGAAGTTTCCATCACGGTAAAGGAAAGCTGCAGTTCTGGGACTGGAGCTTGCACCTGAGTCTTGTACCTGCTCTTCTTATGGGACTTTATGTTCCTAAAGCACGTGGAGAAACTGAGGCCCAGAGAGGCTGAGCCACCTGGCAGGGCCAGCATCCAGAAGGCCTGGCAGAGGCACAGCGAAGCCTCGGTGGGGATTAGCTGGGCCACCCATGGCTGAGCCTCCGAGTGAGGTGGGAGCCAGAGGCACTGGCCCAAGAGGCTGGGCCCAGGGCCCAAGAGGCTGTGGCCCCTCCCTCCTCCTCCCTCCTACCTGCTCTCTGGGCCTCCAAGAGGAAGGCGTTGCCATAGTCCCAGAAGAAGAACTTCTCCTTGGCCAACCTGTTGATGGCTGAGACTTGCCTCCTCAGGCTGCAACAAGCCATGGGTCAGCACCACCGCTGCGAGGCCCTGGGGCCGCCCCCACATGGCACACACAGCACTGCCTGCCATGCTGCCCGCCAACTTCCAGCCCTACTGCCTGGACTGCCCCTGCTCCTCGGGTTGGCCCCACCCACCGGGAATGCCCCTGCCCCTGTCATCTGTTTGGAACCTCTGCACCCTTCAAGGCCCAGCTGGCAGCTCCCTAAACAAGCATTTCCTGGTCCCCAACCCCATCAGGCCCTGGTGAAAAACAGATGCCCCAGAAAGGTCTCACACCCCAGCATCTACTCGGGCCATGCTGGACTACACTGGGCATTCGACAAATGTCACTCTAGCTTGTCTCCCAGCACTGCTGAGAGGTAAGTGTGTCATGACTCCATCTGATGAGTGGAGGCAGAGGCTCAGCGAGGTTAATGTCTTGCCAAGGCCACACAGCCGGTTGCTGGAGAACCAGGTGGTGGCCAGAGCAGGACAAGGTGGTCTGCCCAGGTCAAATGCTTCTGCACCCCCAATCCCGAGTAGCACCTTTCCTGGACCAGGTCCTTGAACACAGCAGGGTTGGAGGCCATGAGGCTCTGGGCCTCCGTGAAGCTGAGCTGCACGGGGTAGTAGCCGCCATTGAACGGGTTGTGGCAGGATGTCTGATCTGACCCCAGGTCCACCAAGCACTCCCCCGTCGTGTCCAATTCGTGGACCAGGCGCTCCCTGGGGAAGCCATGGGGTGGTCAGTGCAAGCCACACACAGCCTGGGCCCAGAGTCTGGGGCCAGCCGGGCGGGGACCGTAGCACATTTTCCCACTCACAAATCCAGCAGGCACAGTCTGAGCCAGACCCTGCTTTCCCCTGGAAAGAGAACCTACGGGAAAGCTGTGGGCAGAGCAGGGACGGCCGCTCCAAGCTTGGGTAAGGGTGTGGGCCAACAAGGGTGGCACTGAACTGAGGCTCGAAGCTTTGTGTCCCAGCAGCTCCTGGTCAGCATTGGGGTCTTTGCTCAGGGGGGCCTGATCTTGAGATCAGGGGGTCTCAAGCTGGCTATCAACTCCCAACCCCCACTCACCAAAGCGCCACCACGTTGCCATGGTAACCAAGGCTGAGCACCTCCTTTCTTTTCCTCGCTTCCCTGGAAGGACACAAGAGCAGAACAGGTGCCCCCCGCACCTATGCATAGGTGCCCCGGACACACCTGCACCCCAGCTGCACACAGGGGCAGACCCAGGAGGCCACAAGAGGTATCATGTGCAAGTGTGGGGACCATGGGGCTGGGCCATGAAGCATGCCTGCAGGACCCCGACTTTTGTTCAGGACACAAAACTATAAAGGGAAAACCCAGACCAGATCAGAAAACCCACATGGCAGCGGCAAAACTGCCTGGGCGATCCATGGAATTCAGGTTATCGATGTGGGACCTCCACAGGGATCGTTACAGAACCCATCAAGGTGGCCCCAGAGTCGCAGGATTCACTAAAGATGATTCCCAAAATTATTCGGAAAAATAGGACAAGAAAAATCAAAGCATATTTTGGGGAACAGAAGATTTGAACAGGACTTGCAGGTAGTAGAAGTATCAAAAAGCAGCAATATGCAGGGAAGGTGGTGTGGCCCCCATGAGAGAGCAGATTGAACGCTCACCGGGAGTGGCCTGGAGAAGCCCGAGGGAGCCGGGCACCTCCCCTCCCCCAGGGGTGCAAGGTCGACAAGGTAGGAAAGGACACACAGTCCCAGGGCAGCAGGGAGGCCCGCCCAACCCGGGGCTTGTTGCAATCCCAGTTGAAGGACCCTGTGGGAACTGTGAGCTCCTGGGAGCTCAGGAGCTCACTCCATTCCCATGGGTCTTCCCCAGCCCAGGGGCTGCAGAAGTGTGGCAGGCAGGTTGCTTGAAGCAGTTCCTTAAACTGATTTTGATGTATGTATATGTGTGTGTGTTCATGTGTGGATGTGCATGCATGTGTACATATATATGTATATATGCGTGTATATGCATATGTGTATGCATGTGTGTGAGAATATACGTTGTGGGCATGTACGTGTTTTTGTGTGTCTGTGTGTGTTTATGGTGTGTGCATGTGTCTGTGTGTTTATGTGTGTGTGTTTGTGTGCACCTGTATGTTTATGTGTTTGTGTTATATGTGCTGTGTGTTTCTGCATACGTTTATACATGTGTGCATGTGTGTTGTTATGTGTATATGTTTCTGTGTTTGTTACATGCATGTTTGTATGTGTTTACATGTGTGTGTTGTGTATGTGTTATGTGTTTGTGTTTTTATTTATATGTATGTGCATTGTGTGTTGTATGTGCATGTGTGTGCGTATGTATTGTGTGTTTATGCATGTTTGTGTGTATCCATGTGTGTGTTGTGTCTGTATGTTTGTGTAGGTGTTATGTGTTTATACTTGTTTGTGTTTGTGTGTGCATGTGTGTATGCCTGCGTCTGTGTTTATGTGTATGTATGTGTGCGTTTATGTGTGTGCATGTGTGCACTCTGTGTGTGCCTGTGTGTGCATGCATGTGTTGTGTGTCTATGTTTATGTGTGCATCTGTGTGTGTATGTTTATGTGTGTCTTGTGTGTTATTGTGTTATGTGTCTGTGTATTTATCTGCATGCATGTGTTGTGTGTTTGTGTGTGCAACCATGTGTGCATGTGTGTGCTGTGTGTGCAACCATGTGTGCATGTGTGTGTTGTGTTCTCTGTGTATGTGTGTATGTGTGTTTATGTGTCTTTATGTATGTATGTGTGTCTGTGTGGCTACATGTATGTGCATGTGTTTTGTGTGTATGTTTATGTGTGTGTGTGTGTACATGCACACAGTCAGGATGCTAAACAGCCTGAATAGAGATGGGAGTTAGGTCGGGGAAGCTCCTCACAGCACACCTGGAGTGTAGAATTTCTTCTATCATTGACGAAAAATTATCTGAGAGTTCTAAAGAGGGTGCAATGTGGTTGGATTGGTATTTTAGGATGATCTAGGTCAAAATAGCTCACTGCATCATTTCTCAAATTTTGTTTACATTTTCACCAGAAACAGCTTTTAAGCCCCTGTGGAGATTCTACTCGAAGCCAGGTCGGCAACCAGTGCACCAATGTGTCTTCCTGTAACAGGACTCTGCTCTGCACAGTAAATTAATTGAGAGGATGCTTCAAAAGTGGCATCCAAGCAGGAGCCCCCAGGGCAGTCTTCCCACCGTCCCACTGAAATACTTCTGAAGACTTTGCCTGGGGGTGAGGCAGAGACACCCACTGACCACCCCTCAGCACCACGGGCGAAGCTCTGCCCTGGAGCACAGGGAGGGAGTGCACGCCTCGCAGGCTCGCCACTGCAACAGCACAGGGCAGCCCCTATCACGGGCCAGGCCGGTTCTGCGAGCCCATACAGCAGGGAAAAGAAGACACGTGCTTCGCAGAACCAGGGCGGAGCATGGGAGCCCCAAGAAGTCTGCCCAAAGCCCGTCAGAGCCAAGTGTCTGAGCACCAAGCCCGCAGCCCAGTGGCTGCCTCCATGCCGGCAATGACGGAATGTTGGAGGCCCTTCCAGAGGCTTCTGCCCTATCACCACCCGCGGGTCAGCCCTTGTGTGCATGTGCGCGCATGTGTGCATGTATATGTACATGTGCATGTATGTGTGGTGCCCACATGTGGCCAGCTGTCGGGCATTAAGCAGGCCCTACCAGGCTGCCCCCGGGGGTCCTCTTGTGGTCTCCTGCTGCCATGTGTCAGGTGTCAGGTGTCTGGAGTTAAGCTTGGAACTGTACCTGAGCCTCTGGATGCAGCGGTCCAAGCTGTCAGTCACTTCCATCAGCCAGCCCTGCTTGTGGCGTTTCTCAAGGGCTGCTTTATCCACCTGGGGCCATGAGACATGGGGACACCCAGTTACAAATCTTCCCTAAGTGTATCATCCTCAACTAGGAAGGCAACATCTCCCGTAGGTCCCTTGCTTTTCTATAACACAGTCTCAGGGAAGACACCACAAGCTGCCCTCCCTCTATTTATTCCTTCTCCCACCTCCCTTATCAGCAGAACCCAGGTAGGGGTTCAGGGTGACACAGTTCAGCCCCAGGAGATAATCTACGTCCAAGCTAATCACAAGGACCTGTCCACTATATCCATCCTCCCTTGCAGATAAGAACATCGATTTCATCTAAGACTAACCAATGAGATAAAAGAAGGGGTTTGGAGACATGACTTTCCTGATAAAATAGAGTTGTAGCAGCCACTTCCCTTCTCACCTCTTCCTGTCTTGAACATGGATAGGATGGCTGGGGTGGGGGCAGCAATTGTTTCTACAAGGGAATCCCAAGGAAATCTAGAGATATTAGCATCATTGAGCTGCCAAACCAATGCCAACACTGTTGGTTACATGAGAAAAATAAAACCCTATTTATACAAGCCGCTGTAGGTAGGTTTCCTGTTACCTGCAGCTCAGTGCACTCCTAACAAGCACAGGTATGTATGATGTAGGTTTGGCATCAACTGAGTGCAAATTCCACTGGCACCTATCGCCAAGCCTTGCCTCAAGGCTTCTTGCCTCCTCCACTTCCTACTTCCCTTCCTCTCTTTGGCACCCACCAAAGAAAGATGAGAGCCTGCTATAGTTGGGATATATTTGTCCCCCAAACCTCATGTTAAAATTTGATCTCTGGTGTTGGAGGTGGGGCCTGGTGGGGGGTGTTTGGGTCATGGGGCAGCTTCCTCATGAATGGCTTGGTGCAGTCCTTGCAGTAATGACTGAGTTCTTGCTCTGTTTGTTCCTACAAGAGCTGGTTGTTTAAAAGGTCCAGCACCGCCCTCTCCTCTCCCTGCTCTCCCTCTCTCGCTGTGTGACCCACCAGACTCCCTTCACCTTCCACCATGAGTGGAAGCTTTCGAAGACCTCAACAGAAGCAGATGTGGGCACCATGCTTCCTGTACAGCCTGCAGAACTGAGTCAAACAAACCTCGTTTCTTTATAAATTAGCCTCAGGTGTTCCTTTATAGAAACTCAAATAACTAAGATGGGGGCCACTGAGGGAAAGCTGCCTGTACTCACCTCTATGGAGGGTGACCTGTCTGCCTCCCCACCTGTTCAAGGTGGGGAGTCTATGAGTTCATTTATTCACACACATTCATTCCCTCCCATCTGTATTCCAGGGATGCGGTGGGATACAGGAAAGCTACACCCATAAATAGATGGTCAGAGTTTTGTGGGAGGGCAGCCGACAGGCATTACCCATGCAGAGTGATGGGCACTTTGAAGGCAGGAAGCTTACGTCACCATGGGAACCCACCCAGTGAGGTCCAGTGGGGCTTTGCGGAGGAGGCAAGGGTGGGCTGGGCAAGGGAGGATGAGAAGAGGGGGTCTGTAGTGTAAGCGATCCTGGAGGAAGGAGGGAGGGAGGGAGGAAGGGAGGCAGGCAGGAGCGAAGGCTAGGAGCCCCCCAGCTCACCTCTGCTATCACACCGATGCACCCCACGATGACCGCAGCCTTGGCCTGAGCCCCACTCATTCCACCGAGCCCAGAGGTGACAAAGACCTTCCCAGCCAAGTCCTCGATGCCCAGGTACCGACGCGCAGCATTCAACACGGTGAGCTGCAGGGAGAAAAGGTAGGGGATCACTGCCCACTTGCAGCCCGCCCCCTCCACCCCCCATGCTGGGACGCCCACAGCCAGGCATGGCCCCATCTCTCACCACAGTGCCGTGGACGATTCCCTGGGGACCGATGTAGCAGTAGCTACCTGCTGTCATCTGGCCGTACCTGACCACAGGGAGAGAAGCCAGGCCCAGGGCTCAGCCAGTGCCAGGCCCAGGTCCTCCCAGTCACTCCCTTTAGGAGGCTGAAAATTAGTATTTACCCAAGAAGCATTAATATATTCTCCTTTACATAAAATATATAGAGAGAGCACAGACAACACAAGAAGGCTATGGACACCCTTGTCCCCTCTCGCCTCCCAGATGTTTTACAAGCAGATTTTGTTCTGTTAAGAACTGTAGTGTAATTGGTGAAGAATTGCTTTGGGGAATATTTGGCCGTATGGACTCCAGCTGGATGTGCACAGCATGCCCACACTACATGCTTATGTCAGGCAGAGACACACACAAGGATGTTCACTGCAACTTTACATGCAGGGGCCAAGACCTGAAGCTGCTGAGATGCCCCTCCACTGAAGACAAGAGAAGTGAGTGGCAGTCTATGTGACCCATGAAACACCACATGGCAGAGAGGGTCAGGGCCCTGCACTGTGCCATGGAAGCAAGCCAGTTTGGGAGGCAAGAGGGTTAAATAAATTAGTGCAATTGGACATTGTAGGTAAAGGAAGAATACATGAGATCTGCTTGCTGAAATACAGCAATCTCCTAGCTCTCTTGTGAAGGTGGGAAAGGCAAGGCACAGAGGCCGGCCCCAATGGTCTAACCACCTAAATTGCCAAGTCCACTTGCATAGAAAGTGTTTGGAAGAACACAGGAGACACTGTCAACTGGAGAATCTAGGATGTAGAGGGATCTCCTTTTCATTGTAGCTCCATTTATAATGCTTGATGAAATACTTTGCATTGACAGCTGCTGTGGCTCATGCCTGTAATTCCAGCAATTTGGGAGGCTGAGGTGGGCAGATCACCTGAGGTCAGCAGTTCGAGATCAGCCTGGCCAACATGGTGAAACCCCATCTCTACTGAAAATAGAAGAAAGTAGCTGGGTGTGGTGGCACATGCCTGTAATCCCAGCTACTTGGGAGGCTGAGCCAGGAGAATCACTTGAACCCAGGAGGCAGAGGTTGCAGTGAGCCGAGATCGCACCACTGCACTCCAGCCTGGGCAATAAGAGCGAAACTCCGTCTCAAAAAAAAAAAAAAAAGGAAAAAGGAAAAAAAGGAAAGAAAAAGAAATCGTTTGCCTTCCCTCTGTAACAAATGAAAAGCTTTCATTCCCTGAGAGGGGGCCTGAGAGGCTTCTCTGGGGCACTGGCAGCACTCTGTGCCTAATGGTTTTGGTTGCACAGATGCACACTTTGTCAGAACCCGAAATGTGGTGCATATAAGATGTGGCATCTCATTACATGCAAGTTTCACCTCCAAAGAAAAAATAACTGTAAACAAATATTGACTTCCAGTCAGTAATATTTACAATTGACTTTGAGATGCACACACACACACACACAAAAACCCCAAAAAGCAAGTCGAATGAATGGATAGGCAGAGGGACAGATAGACAGCCACATGATAAAGTGAGTATGGTAAGTAGCACATTCATCACAAAAATTCGGTGGTATTCACTGTAAATTCGGTCAATTTTCTGTATGTTTGAAATTGTTCATAATAAAATGTGGGAAAAGGCAGGATCTAAAATTGTAGGGTCTCTTGCATTCAAGGATATAAGATTTGTAAGCATATATATAAAACTACTAGGGAATACATAAAAATAAAATCAATTATGCTACAGTTCTGTGACTATGTCTTTCCAAACTTGTATTTAATATCACCATTTTGCTTTATAATGACCCATGGCTAACAGGGAAACACTGGAAATAGACTGAAATAGCGACTTACATTGTAACCCCCAAGGCAAAGAGCTTCTCATACTCCATCCGGGAGGAGTAGTTGGGAATGACCTGGAGAAGAGGATGGGGGCAGACAGAGGGGCTGAGGTCTTGGAGGGCGAGCACAGAGCCCGGGGGTGATGCACAGCGTTGGGGCACTGGGCTTTCTTTCTGGCATCAGCACCCTCTCTTTGGAGCCCTGGGCAGGTGCTGTGCCTGCTGCTGAGGACCCACCATCCCATTGGTGATGACGAGCCGGGGGGCGCTGCAGCTGCTGGGGAAGAGGCCGAGCGGGTGCCCGCTGTACATGACCAAAGTCTGCTCCTCTGTCATCTTCGACAAGTAGAACATGGTCAGCCAGAACTGGGGGAGGAGCAGAGCGTGGGGATTCTGTCAGTGGAAGCAGCACCCCACGCCCAGCCCCACACCACCGTCCACGCCTAGACAGCTCCTGCAGGTCCCCAGGTCTCCATTGCACTCCAGTGGCCCTGGTGCCTCCCTCAACACCACCTCGCCCATTCCTATAACCTGAAATTTCCCCACACAGTCTACAGTGCTGGAGCCTCAGGCACCAGGGAGGCAGAGGCCTGCATCCTGAGCCACGGGTCTGTAAGCTCCTAGGCCAGAGGACCAGACTCGGGGAAAGGCCGGGATGGGGGTGAGGTCACACGGTGCGCAGTACCTGAGCCCAGTTGCTGAACACCTGCCCATTTCCTCCGTAGGTCACCAGCTCCTGGGGAAACTGAGGAAGACACAGGGTCATCTGAGATGAAGGCCTGGGAAGGGCCTATGGAGTCGCAGACAAGGAGAGAAAGGGCCCCCATCCCCTGGGGGCCCAATGGGGCAAGGAGAGAAGCCAGAAGGGTGAGGCCCAGAGACGGACACATCTGCAAGAACACCGGCCCCGGCTGCGACTGGAGCAAGGGCTCAGCTTGGGGTTAGGGGCGGATCTGGGTCTGGGGTCACAGTGGGAACTCAGCCTGGGGTCAAAGGCAGGATTGATCTGTGACCAGGGCCTGGGGCCAGGGCCAGGGTTTAGGGCGTTCCCACCTACTAGGCGAAGTGGTCACATTCTGGCAACATATCTCCCCCAAGGAATGCAGGGACACACCCCAGAGACATTCCATTCTCAAATGTGGGCAGCTGCTCTGTAGACTGGCTTAGGGTGCCCAAGACAGGCGTAAGGGGCCAGATCCATGCTACCCAATATGGTGGCCACCAGCCATGCATGGCTTTTCACTCTGCTCCTTGCATAGATACACCCTGATTTCAAAGTCTCAGGATGAAAAACAATGTAAAATATCTCATTAATAATGTTTATATAGATTACATATTAAAATAATAATATTTCGGAGCTGGGGGTGGTGGCGGGTGCCTGTAGTCCCAGCTACCTGGGAGGCTGATGTGGGAGGAACGCTGGAGCCCCGGAAGTTAAGGCTGCAGTGAGCCAAGATCAAGTCACTATACTCCAGCCTGGGCCACAGAGTGAGACCCTGTCTCTCTAAAAAAAAAAAAAAAACAACAAAAAAGTAAAAAGTAAAAAAATAATATTTTTGATATATCAGGATGAATAAAATATAGTGTAAATTTGTTTATTTTTACTTTTTCATATGGCTGCTAGAACATTTAAAATTGGACGTGCGTCCACTGCAGCCACAGTGACGTCCTGGTTTTGAGGCTGTACTACAGCCACGGATGCAACCACTGGGGGAGGCCGAGGGAAGGGCCAGGGACCTCTCTTACTAGCTTTGCAACTTCCTGTGAATCTATAATTATCTCAAAATTAAGAGCTTGAAAGCATGATGTGTGTGTCTCGCGTTCTGTTTCTGCTGGACAGTGCTGGGCCTCGGTTTCCCTGGCTATTACCTGGGCCACGGCGGGATCCAGGTTGTTCATGATCATATGCATGATGGCGGCGGCCGCTTTTGTCTGGCAGGGGTACTGCTCAACCGGGTAGGCCCTGCAAGGGAAAGCCCAACCGCCAGTCTGCCCTTCCCGCCAAAGCACAGCATCTAGCCTGGCCCCGCCCAGCCCCTGGCTGCTCAGGCAAGGATAGCCGGACCCGGGGCCTGCAGAACTAGCTAGGAACATACAGTGGGGCTCCAGAGCCACTAGGGCTGAGGGAGGTGGCGTTCAGGCCCCAACCCACCCTGCTCTCCCTCCCTACTTGGCACACTCCACCTGGCAGACAGCTGCTGGCAAAGCAGAACTGACGACTGCTCTCCAGAAGCCTCTCCCTCTGGGTAAGCAGAGTTTATTCATTTGTTCTTTCACTAATTCAACAAACACTTTTGGGCACCAATTCTCCAGCAGGTGCCAGGCCCGGAGGCACTGGCTGGAGTGAGGAACGTGGCTCCTACTTTAAAGGGAACAACCCTGGGATGACTCAAGGCAAGCCTGGGCCGCTGGCACCTCCAAGAACAGTAACTGCAGATATGCAGACTCGAAGCCCCACCCCAGAACTGCTGGGTCTGAAGTTGGGGTAAGGCCTGGCAGCCCGTGTTCCCACAAGGCCTCCAGGGGTGCTGTGCACACTGCGGTTTGAGACCCTCATTGAGATCGTGAGGTATTTGAAGTCACTGCCACAGCTCCCCAAAGCTCTCCCTGCCCTCTGGCAGAACAAAAAGCCATGGTTTTAAAAAGAGGTTTTGTGTACAATTTGGCTCCAGAATTGCACAGGACTGGCTGCTCAGGACAGATGGGCCGGGCCTGAGAGTCCTGAGAAGCTGCCCCCATCTTCTGGCAGGCTCAGGGGCTGCAGCCAGCACTGGGCTCCAGCTCCCGAGACGACAACACCGAATCTTCTCTCCCCTGCCTCCTAGTCTGGACAGACTGGGTTTCCCCCTCACTGCCCGCTCTCCCGTTGTTCCTGGCCCCCAGCACAGTCCCTTGTGGGAGCTGCCTGCCCCTCTGGGTCCCTCTGAAGCTGCGCCCACAAGGCTGACCTCATTTCAATGTCGGGGCAAAACCGGTACATGTAGATGTGCCCGTACAGTTGCAGCTCCTGGGCAAACTCTGGGGCCAGCAGCTCCTGGACATCCGCGGGGAAGTAGCGCAGGGCATTCCTCAGCGCCAGCTGGGGTAGGAGAGCAGAGAGGCAGTGGGGGCTGGGGGTCCAGGCCCAGTGTTCTGAGGCCTGGTGATGGGCCATCCTCCTCCCAAATGGATTTGCCTTTGCTCCTCTTAGAAGCCTGTTGCCCACCCAGAGACCGTCTGTTCTCACCCCAGGCCCATCTACAGTGTCACCTTCCGCAGAAAGCCTTCCCTGATTGCCCCCTCCTGCCCCTTTCATGAAGGCAGACTGATCCCTCTCTCTTCTTGCTTATGGTGAACCACTCCTGTTCTGGGGATGGCGCTGCTTACCCCCAGGCAGGGACCAGAGAGGGGCCTGCCTGAGGCTTGTGGCTACGGTGTAGGATGCAGAGGCTCCAGCGGGGAGAGTAGACCCCACATAGCCTTAAGTACCCTGTGCAAGTGCAAGCGCATACAAGAAAAAGCTGTCAAAAGCAACATATATTTACACACACACATGAACTCTTTTGATTGTGAGCCACGGGAAGCAATTCCTATGGCTACCCAGATACATACACCTATACTCCATGCAACAAGAACAAGACTCAGCCTTCCCACATGGGTTCTAATACATCCATCCTCTTCTAGCTGCTTTCATTTCACTTTCAAATCAGTACTGCTGCACTTCCTCAACTGATTTCGCAGCCTGCTGGTAGGCGGTAGCTGCAACCTGAGACCACTGTCCTCACCATTCTAAAGGCAGTGCCAGCCTCAGCCCTGGGGCTTGCCGAGACATTTTACTCATATGCTAGACAAGGAGGACCTCTTTCATAATCAGTTGCGTCAAATGCATTAGAAACATTGTTCAGGTAATTACATAGCTCAAAAAGTACAACAAAGGTTCTGTGAAAATTAGTGAATTTAAAATCGTGTCAGTTGATGGAAATGACTTGGCCATTCTTAAAGGTGAAATGTGTAAGAAGCTCAATCTGTTCTGAAATGAAGCACAAACTTGTGCCCTTTTTCCAAATCCGAAATACAGCCCCAAAGCTCTGTCTGCCACATTTTCCCCTTGTATAAAATTTCCATTTGCTAACCATTGAATTTTTCTTTATTGCTGAAATTCAGTAATTTGGCCTAGATATGTCTTTGTGTTGATTATTCTATATCAAGGTTTTTTTTTCTTTCCAGGATAAACTGCCTTTTAATCTGCAATTTCATGTTTTTATTTAGTTCATGAAAGTTGTCTTCTATTTTTTGCTGAATACTTCATCCCCTGTATCTAGAGTTACCTAATAGGCATGCAATAAATATTCTTTTCAGTGGGGAAGAAAGGCTCACTCTCACTGGCCTGGATGTCATCCTCCATGCCTCAGACAGGAGGCAGCACTCAGCATTCAAACAAGACCATGGGGGCTCACACAGGTCACGTGACCGGACCTCTGGAACTGTAGGAGAATAAATATGTGTTGTTTTAAGCCACTACACTTGTGGCGATTTATTACATCAGACGTGGGAAGCTAATACAGGCAGTAACAGAACCCTGCCTCGGGCATCGGGGCACCTGTGCCAGGCACACGCTTGTCCTGCATGGTGGCTGAGCACCGAAATGAAAGGATGCCAGCCTGCAACGTTGTTCAGCTCACAGAGCAGGATGTGTGTGTGTCCTTCAGCCTAGGACTTACTTTCATTCTAACCTGGCAGTCAGCTTGTGGGGCAGTAGCTCACTTTTAAACCTCACCCACATGAAAGTTTCTGACTGTCACTATTTCTGCCAGAAATCATGGCCACTATCCAAATGGCTTGGCTTCATCTGAGTCGCTCTTGTTCCTGCACCCCCCTAGCGCAGGCTTCATCAGGGTCCCCACCAGCTCTACGCTGAGGCTGCGTTGAGAGCCAGGAGCTGCAGCCAGATTTCCTGGGTGCAGACAGCACTCTGGGTTGCATGGGCTGCAGTGGCTCTGCAAGGCTGCTGTGGCACAGGCCTACCACATGGCACATGCCCACTGCCAATCTCTGACTGCTCTTTCCCCATCTGTAAAGTGGGCATAATAACAGTATCTCCCTCAGAGGACTGCCTTACAGACTCAATGAATTGAGGTACTTAGAACAGCCCCTGGCACACCGAAGTGTGTGTGAGTGTCTGGTTGTCAAAACTGTCATCTCCCACACTTGTGGGCCACCATGCTGCCCGTTTTTTCTTCCAGCTGGGCCTCTGCCCTCCCCACTCCTCTGGGACCTCCATAGAAGCCTTTACACTCTGTGGGGGCATAGTTAAGCAGCAGGTATGCCCCTTTTCAGAAACCTTCATGGGCTCCCTATTACCCATTTGATAAGGCCATGCTGTTCCTGGAATTTAGAGTCCTCCATCAGCCGGCTGGGTCTGGCTCTCCAAGCTCAACACCAAGCCCCGGCCAGCAAAGAACCTCCTTCACTCTGACACACCTCAGATAGCTCCGTCTCCACATTTGTGCACACCGCCTCCCCTTGTCTCCAAATGGCCTTTCTTCCTTCCCAGGCTAAGAACCTTGCCCAAGCTGCCATAGCCACCTCTTCCAAGGAGTCCTCTCAAGTTCCTCCTGCCAGTTGAAATCTGATGGGATGTTTGTTAGGGCTCCGAGTGCAACTCTCATTCATTCAGCAAACATCTGCTGCTGTCACTGGAGACCTGGAAATGAACCCGGTGGAGTTCTGCCCTCAAGAAGTTCAGGAGGGGAGTACAATGGGTAGTGATGGGGACACAGACGCTGGCCATCTTCGGATCTGCTATTGGATGCCCGGCACAGGCGCTGTGGGTGGGGTGGATTTGGGGGAAAGGTCACCAGCACAAACTGCACATGGCAGGAGGTACTGAGGACATTTCTAACATGGGAACTGCTTCAGTTGTGTGACTGAAGTTTCCCTGTGCATGGTAAGAGCTGTGTCAGGCGCATGCTGAGAGTGTCCTGATTAACTTGGCAAAGGAAGGCCCCGCTCCAGTCGCAGAGCTCTGTTAAAGATGAGCAAAGAATGACGCACACGTTAGTTCATCCAAAGCATGAAACACTACGCAGCCATTCAAAGACGGGACCCTCTAAATGCACCAAGAAAGAGCAACCTGAAAAAAACCTAACGTGTATAGACGCTTCTGCTTGTATTTTTAAGAGGGTTCACAGACGTCTTCCGCACCTCATAGATGCATAGAATGTGTTTCTGAAATTCTTGAGTAGTTTTCAGTAAAGAAAGGGTAGGAGGAAAGTCTGTATAACCGTGTCACCTACTTTATTTCATTTGGTCTCCTCCACAATCCCCTGGTGTCATTGTTTTTATCTTCAGCTTACAAATGCCAATAAATAAATAAATAAATAAATAAAAGGCTACAGTGACTTCAGAAGGTGAACTGGGGAATTTACACTTTTATACATTCGACTTCTTATCTCATAAAATTGTCTTCAAATACGTATGTTAAAGATCAACGAAACACATTTAAATAAAAAATAGAAGGCAAGCCACAGGACTCAGGGAGCCACCCATAGCCCTCAGACCTGCACCCGCTCCTACTCCAAGGGCTTCCTGACCTTCAAGCAAAGAGGGACATAACCCAGCAAAGCCCAGGTGGCCACTCCTCCACCTGGAGCCACCTTCTCCCAACACAAGACACCCCGGGAGCTGATCACAGCCACGTGGAGCTGATCACAGCTACAGGGCGCTGCAGGGGATGTGCAGGCCACAGGGCCCTCCCTGAGCTCCAGGGTGAAGGTCGAGGCATTGGTGCCCAGCAGGGAGGTGACCAAGGGGAAGAAACATTAACAACACCTGGACAACCGGGAGATGGGCCAAGGGGAGCAAAGGGTCAGGACCACCTGCTTGCAATCTGCTCCTGAGTACCCACCACCTACCTGCCCCACTCCAGGACCCACCACTTACCCGCCTCCCCAGCATCTGACACTACCCTCCCCTGGCCCCCAGTGCCCAACACCTACCCTCTCCCCATCTCCCAGCACCCACCACCTACCCTCTCCCACCACCAACACCCACCAACTACCCTCCCCCTGCCCCCGAGTACCCGATACCTACCCTCTCCGCCCCCAATGTCCATACCTACCCTCCTCCTGTCCCCCAGCGCCTACCACCGACCCACCCCCCATCACCCCAGCACCCACCACCTATCCTTCCCACAACTCCCAGCACCCACCACCTATCCTCCCAACTCCCCAGCACCCACCACCTACCGTCCCCTGACCCCTAGTGCCCACCACCTACCCTCCCCAATCCCATCACCCACCACCTACCCTCCTCCCACCCCAGCCCCCACCACCTACCTCCCACCACTCCCCAGCACCCACCACCTACCTTCCTCACCCCCACCACCCACCACCTACCCTTCCCACCCCCACCACCCACCACCTACCCTCCTCCCACTACCCAGCACCCACCACCTACCCTCCCCAATCCCATCACCCACCACCTACCCTCCTCCCACCCCAGCCCCCACCACCTACCCTCCCACCACTCCCCAGCACCCACCACCTACCCTCCCCCCCCACCCACCACCTACCCTCCTCCCACTACCCAGCACCCACCACCTACCCTCCCCAACCCCATCACCCACCACCTACCCTCCTCCCACCCCAGCCCCCACCACCTACCCTCCCACCACTCCCCAGCACCCACCACCTACCCTTCCTCACCCCCACCACCCACCACCTACCCTTCCCCACCCCCACCACCCACCACCTACCCTCCCCCACTCCCCAGCACCCACCACCTACCCTTCCCCACCCCCACCACCCACCACCTACCCTCCTCCCACCCCCAGCACTCACCACCTACCCTCCCCCACCCCCAGCAACCACCACCTACCCTCCCCCCACCCCCACCACCCACCCTCCCTCATCCCACCACCCACCACCTACCCTCCTCCCAACCCCAGCAACCACCACCTACCCTCCTCCCACCCCCACCACCCACCACCCACCCACCACCTACCCACCACCCACCCCCAGCAACCACCACCTACCCTCCCCCCACCCCCACCACCCACCACCTACCCTCCTCCCAACCCCAGCAACCACCACCTACCCACTACCCACCCCCACCACCCACCACCTACACTCCCCCCACCCCCACCACCCACCACCTACCCTCCTCCCAACTCCAGCAACCACCACCTACCCACCACCCACCCCCACCACCCACCACCTACACTCCCCCCACCACCCACCACCTACCCTCCTCCCAACCCCAGCAACCACCACCTATCCTCCTCCCACCCCCACCCCCACCACCCACCACCTACCCTCCCCCCACCCCCACCACCCACCACCTACCCTCCTCCCAACCCCAGCAACCACCACCTATCCTCCTCCCACCCCCACTTACCCCCACCGCCCACCACCTACCCTCCCTCCACTCCCCAGTGCCCACCACCTACCCACCCCCTCATTACCCAAGCATCCACCACCTGCCTTCACCCCACCCCCAACCCCCACCACCTACCCTCCTCCTACCCCCAGCACCCACCACCTACCCTACCCCCACCCCAGCACCCACCACCTACTCTCCCCCCACCCCCACCACCCACCACCTACCCTCCTCCCAACCCCTACCTCCCCCCTCCCCCCAGTGCCCACCACCTACCCAACCCTGCTGGCCCCTCCCCCATTTCCTTTTCCCTCCAGCGCCCGCTCCACCTGCCCCCAGTGCCATACTCCCACAAGGATCTCCAGCATCCTCCTAGCCCCCCAACTCCCCTCCCCTCCCACCCCACCAACCTGCTTCCCCTTTTCCCCTTCCCCAGCGCCAGCTCCCCGCTGAGCGACCCCTACTGTCCCCACTGCGTCCTGTTAGGCCTCTGTGAGTGGCTCCAGGAAAGTCCAGGGGGCTCTGGTGCAAAGGGCAGCTGTCTTTTTCTGGGGAGGTAGGATTCCTCTTTTAATCTTTATGCTTGTTTGCAGTTTCCACTTCTCTACTGTTTCTGAAATTCTTGAGTAGTTTCCAGTAAAAAGTAGGAGGAAAGCCTATATAACCATGTTACCCACTTTATTTCATTTACTCTTCTCCACAATCCTCTGGTGTCACCATTTTCATCTTAAGCTTACAAATGACAAAAGGGAGGTTCCCAGACAGGGTGTCGCTGGCAAGCGTGCACCATCCCTGGCCTGCTTTGCTGTTAGGTGAGGGGATACTGGCCTTAGCCCATCTTTCCTTGGCACCCGCCTGCCGGCTACAGGGTTCAGCCATGCAGCTGAAAGTTCTCTGGAGATTTGGGGAAGGGACATTTGCAAATGAAAACAAGAGCTGACCTGTGTGCAAATGTTCTGCGTGCTGGGGCAGACCCGGTGCTGGGTGTGGGACACTTCACACCCGCCCAGCGCCTCCTCCCACTGGAGGTGGCCACAGTGCCACCACTGACCGGCTGCTGACCTTGAGCCTCAGGGTCCTCATCTGTAAACAGGCACAGTGATCCTGCACCCAAGGGCGGCTGCACCCAAGAGACAGAGTCCACCATGCATTGCACCCGCACCAGCTAGAGCCTCTGGAGTCCAGGGTGGGCGGCTGAGCAGCTCCCACCAAGAGGGCAGGAAGCCTGGGTGCTCACTATGGACCACCTGAAGGATGCCTAGAGGCCAAGGCCTCAGGAGCACAGGCCCACTGCTTACCTGTTTCTCCGCAAGGCTGAGGCCGGGGGTCCTGACTGGGGCATGGGGCACCCCAGCCTGGCGTCCCCGGTTCTCTGGGAGGGGCCGCAGGGGCAGGCCAGAGCACAGCGCCTGGAGGCTGGACATGTGTAGCTGAGATGGAGGTAGAGGCCAGCACTGTGGGGAGACTAGGAAGAAACTGGCATATAAGGCCCAGCAGGGCGGGGACCTCCAGCCGCAGGGCCACCTCCTCCAGTCCCTCATTGGGTGCCTGGCCTGTGCAGGGAGTCATGTGCAGGTCGGAGGGTCACTGGCCTCAGGCAGGGCACTTGCAGTGCTGACCTGGGGAGGGCAGTGCTCTGTGGGAGGGCAGGCTTCACGATGGGGATGGGGGCTGGGCCCACTTCCCCTTCCAGGAGGGCTGTGCTATCCAGGACAGCTTTAGGGGGTGGGAGGGTCTCTAATACTGGGGTGCGCTGTGGCAGCCCTCAGGGCACCATACCAAACATTTGATGTTGATGATGAGGAGATGGGGAGCCATGTGACACTGAACTGGGCATAGAGTGTAGATCCCCTCCTCCTGCTACCTCCTGCTGGGGGGTGGGGTGACAGGTGGAGCGGGAGCCCCCAGCAGCAGGTATGCCCTCCTTGACTCCCGCTGGAGGGCACACCGCTGTACCACTTCCCAAAGCTCTTTTTGAAAGACCTGCCTGAGGGATGACCCTCATCCCCAAATCTGTTAACAACTCTGCCAGAAAACACTCTTTATGAGCCCTATAGTACTGATGGAGAAACCAAGGCCCAGGTCTCCCTCACACAGCCAAGAAGTGGCCGAAGTTGAATTCCAGCAGTCCTGGGGAAGCGACACACCTGGGTGTACCCGGTGCAGAGCCTGACCAGCCCTGTGGCCTTTGGCCATGTCCTGTCCACACAAGTGGGTGGCGATGGACTGCTTGGCTGTAAGGGGGCAGAGTGCCCTTAGGCAAGCCCCAGTGCAGGGCCCACTCAGCTGCCTTCTGAGTGTTTGCTCCTCTGAGAGCATCCTGTGGGTCAGCCCTGAGAGTTTCATTGCCCCCATTTTAAGGATGAAGAAACAGGTGGAGAGAAGGATGGGACTTGCCCAGGGTTACACAGCCAGTCATAGGGGGAGCTCAGACTGGAGCCCTGAGGACCCAGAGGTCTGGCCCTAGCACCCTCCCATCCACGCTGGCTGTTTTGTGGCACAGGGAGGGCGCCCTTAATGGGGGCGATGTGAGACCGTGATAGAATAAGAAACAGGCTTTGGTCTCTTCCTTGTTCCTGCGACAAAGCTCCTGAGGCCCTGGTAGATAGAAACTCTAGGAGAATCTTTTGTTCTAACATTTGGTCTTTGACCCTGGTTCCTGCCACAGAGCTCCTAGATATGTTGGAATTTCCTGGGTGACAGGAGCGGAGCCCTTTTGTTCTAATGAGGGAACTCATGGCAGATCCCTGATATCCTCAGGATGGGGGCTGGTTGACAAGGGAACCAACCTGTGATTAGAGGGTTGGAACTTTCAGCAGCCCCCTGACTTTGGGGAGGAGAGAGAAGCTGAAGGTTGAGTGGATCACCAAAGGCCAATGATTTAGTCAATCGTGTAGGTCATGAAGCCTCCCTAAAAACCCAAAAGGACAGGGTTCAGAAGAGCTTCCCAACAGCTGAGCACAGGTAGATTCCTGGAGAGGGGCATGCCCAGAGAAGGATAGAAGCTCTGTGCATCTTCCCCACACCTCGTCCTGGGCATCTCGTCCATCTGGCTGTTCGTCTATATTCTTTGTAATGTCCTTTATAAGAAACAAGTACACATCAATAATAAAGTGTTTCTCTGAGTTTTGTGAGCCACAGTAGCAAATTAAATGAACCCTGGAAACCCCAGTTTATAGCCAGACAGTGGTCAAAACCACAGTCCATAGACCACAACCTGTGTTTGCAGCATCTGAAGTAGGGGGTGATCTTGTGGGACTAAGCCCTCAACCTGTGGGATCTCATGCCATCCCCAGCAGGTGGTATCAGAGTTGAGCTGACTGGGATACCCAGCTGGAAGAGACACCCAGCTGAAAAGCTGGCTGCTGGAAAAAGCCCACATATACTTTGGTGACTGGGGTGCGTCATGTTGTATGAATGAAGAAGGAAAAGGTTTGTTTTCATACTGGGCCTGTGGCATCTCTGCTCCTCACCAGCCGGGGCCACCTGGGACAGAGCATGCAAAAAGGTGCTCAGGCTTAAGCATCCCACACTCAGTCCTTCTTATGCCAGGTGCTGTTGCAGGCCCTGGGAACAGAGTGCACAAGACAGAAGTTGTACAGCCTGGATGCCAGTGGCCAGCACCTTCGGCTGCCTTCTCAAGGGTGTCTTCTGGTGACCCTGAGTGTCCTCTTCCCACTCAGAGGGCAGCTGCAAGGGAGAATTAGCAGCCCCTCCCCACCTGCCCAGGGAGCAGCCCCTAAGCACGCAGGTCCCTTGCGCCTCAGGGTGGGGAGACTGCTTCTCAGTCAGCTGCTTCCCATGCCCAGCTCACCTTGCACTCCCCAACAGACAGAGCCTCAACAAACTGCACTGAGACCTGGTCCCAGGGCCCACTGCACAGGAGGCCCCGCGTCTCATGGCCCAAGAGCAGCCAGAAATCCAGCAGGTTTTCTGAAATCTCCTGAGTTTTAAACATCAGCAACCAATTTGAGAAAAGGTGAACATTGTGCAGAAGTCATGCTGATGGCGTCCATGTCACATCCCAACCGGGCTACTGCACTGTGGTTCTGCACGATCTCAGCACTGGGGGAAAGTGGGTAAAGGGGACACGGGATCTCTCTTCCTTACAACTGCACACAAATCTAGTGACCCCAAAATAGTTTCATTAAAAACAAACATTGCCTAACTATTTAAAAGTATGAAGATCTTGGCTGGGTGCGGTGGCTCATGCCTGTAATCCCAGCATTTTGGGAGGCTGAGGCAGGAGGATCACCTGAGGTCAGGAGTCTGAGACCAGCCTGGGCAACACGGCAAAACCCCGTCTCTACTAAAAAAGCAAAATTAGCCGGGCATAGTGGTGGGCGCCTGTAATCTGGCTATTTGAGAGGCTGAGGCAGGAGAATCGCTTGAACCTGGGAGGCGGAGATTGCAGTGAGCCGAGACCGCGCCACTTCACTCCAGCTTGGGCAAAAGATCAAAAAAAAAAAGAGAGAGAGAATGAAGATCACAGAAGTTAAATATGGCAGGCTGCTAGGTTCAAACAACCCTGGCTACACCACTCTCTAGCTGTGTCCTTGGGTAAGTTACTGAGCCTCTCGGTGCCTCAGTTTCCTCATCTATAAAATGAAAGTCTACTATGTACCTCATAGGATGCATCTGAGGATCACATGAGATAACACGCATGGAGGGCTTAGAATAGTGCCTCGCACAGGACACACGCCAGACAAGATGAAGAATTATTTTTCTAACGGTTTCCTCCACGAGGAAAAAGTATCATCTCTCACAGAGACAGCTCTGGCTCCTCCGGGTCCCCACCTCCTCCCTGCCTCCCACAGAGCAGCAGAGGTGGTGTCTGTGATTTAGCTATTCTTCATGGACGGCTTCCCTCTATGCTTAGAAAACCCTATCTGTGGGATCTGGACTCCCTGTCTGCCTCTCTGACTTCACCCACTCACCCTCGCCCACTCCAGAGCCTCCCTGGTGCTCCTGGGACAGGCGGTGGTGGTTCTAAAACATGCCTGCAAATTCTCGGGCACTGCTGGTTGGTGTGGCCCCACTCCTGGGTCTGGTCCAGCCTCAGCGATTTTCGGGTAACTAACAAAAGGCAGCCCCAGGCCAGGTCAGAAAATGGCCAGGCTCTATGGGAGCAGCATACCGGGCCCCAGGTCGGAGGGTGCCCCGAGGAGGTCTGGAGGCCAGAGGGTGGCCCAAGGAGACTCCCAGGCTGGAGGGTGCCTCCAGGATGACCCCAAGCCAGAGGGTGCCCCGAGGAAGTCCCCAGGCTGGAGGGTGCCCCAGGAGGCCCCCAGGATGAAGGGTGCCCTGAGAGGATCCTTGCATCACTGCCCAGCAGAGCTCCCAGACGGACACCACCTGCCAGTGTGAGCAGTGGGACACTCGACCAGGGTGAGCCTCCCAGTGATGCAGTGCCAGCTGCCTTCTGACTGCAGCAGCCTGAGACTCCCATGAGAAATACTTAGCCAAGCCCATGCCCCAATTCCCGATACACAAAATGTGAGCAAAATTTAAATGGTTGTCTTAAGCGGCCAAATTTTAGGGCAGTTTGTTACCTAGCAACAGCAACTGGAACATCACCTCAGGGCCTTTGCAATGGTACCTGCTGGCTTCTGCTTCCTGGAGTCACATCTCTGCTCCAATGCCACCTCCCCGAGGCCTGCCCCAGCACCCTCCTTACACCGGACACGCTTCCCATCCTGGTACCTGCTGTTTTCTTCACAGCAGCATTCACCGCGCTCTCTCTTTATCCGGATTTTCCGTGCTTCCCATCTGTAATGGAAATGCTGTGAGGGCAGACACTGCAGGGGTCTCACCCTCTCCAAGCGGACCTCAGCACGGAGTGGGTGTTCTGTATCTGTCGAATGAATGAATGAATGCGAGTCCCTGGGAGAAAGCGTCTTCACAGGGAAGCTCTCAAGGCCCCGGGCGTCTAGCCAGGCATCTGAACCCTCCCATCCCAAGACCCAAGGCCATCTCTTCCTCTCTCCAGGGACCCCATCTCCAGGGACATCTCCGGATGAAGGGCTGAGATGTTATTCCCAACTTTGACCACCAGGTGGCAGCACATAAGGGCAAGGAGCGCTGAGGATTCCAGACAGGCAGTGGGGCCAGGGAATGCCGGTCTGGGGAAATTTGGAAGGCACCTTTGGATGCGAGTTAGGTCCGGCAGGGAATGCAGATGACCTGGAATCCCTGGGTCCTGGGCCAGTCTGGGGGTGGGCTGGAGGCTCCCCAAGGCCCGGAAAGTCATGATAAGAAGCTCTGGCTTACTGTGAATGGGGACTTCCACCTCTCTGTCCTTTGAGACCACCATCACCATTTAAAGCTGTATCTCAGAATCAGCAGAACTATTATTTGCTTAATATTCTTCCTTAAATAGATCTTCCACAACTTAAATAAATGTAATAGGAAGAAATTTTTATTTCACAACTGTAACAGAAACCAGTCATTTGCCAGAAACAGGCAGTAACCATAAACAAGTTAATTACTAACATCAAATACTTACCTGGCACTCACTGAGTGCCAGGCACTGTTGCAAACATTTCCTGTATCTCATTAATCTTCACAGCAGTGAGGTTTAGGATTACCCCCCTGTACAGGGAAATGGGGCACAGAGAGGTGTGGTGACTTTCCTAATCTCCCACAGCAGTAAGTGGTACCAGGTGGGTTTGGAGTCACCAGATTTTTCAAAAGCAGTTTAACAACTGGAGCTTAGAGTGTGGAATAATAGACACTGGAGACTTGGAAAGGGTAGGAGAGTGAGTGGGGTGGGAGGGATAAGGAATTATTTAGTGGGTACAATGGACATTATTTAGGTGATGGTTACACAGAAAACCCAGACCTCACCACTGTATAATATATTCATGTAACAAAACTGCACTTGTGTCCCTTACATTTATACAAAAAAAAACTCCAAAAAACCTGGAGTTTAACGCAGTACCCTATCCCATGCACTCACAGTGCTAAATGTTGTCTCCAACACACTCATTCGCACACACAGTGCCAGCTGCACCCTCCGGTTCCCTGCTAGCCTGACTTCCGGGCAGCAAGACCCTACGGTTAGGCGTGGGCTCCCACTCAGGGCTAGCTGAATGTGTGTGTCTTTCAAAGGCTGGACTTTACTCTCACCTCCCCCCCTCCACCCCCCAACACACACACACACACACACACACACACACACACACACACAGTCCCTGGCAAGTCCTCGGTGCTCACATGGTGCTCAGAGAAGTTGTGGGTGACACGCTGAGGCGCAACAAGCTCCATTCCCCGGGGGATGTAAGCTGAGACACTCCCTCTCTGTCCAGAGGCTAGCGCCATCTGCACGAGCTAGATTCAGGCAGGACCTGGAAACCCCAGAGAAAAGCAAGGGTACAGGGAAAGCAAGCCTTGGGTCGGGGAAGGAGGGACACTGTTAGGCCTCCTACTGAGGGCAGGGGTCCCAGAGAACCATGGACAGGGCAACGCTCTACTAGGCTCCTTGGTTCATCTCGGATCAGCCCTTGGGCCCCTGGCATCTAAGGCAGCAAAATGGCAAGGGGACACCGCCCGGGGTGGGGCACGCCAACGCGACAATACCTCTTGGCCTTGGGTGGATAACGGCACCTCGGGGCAAACACTAGGGGCGGAGCCTAGGGGCGAGGGGCTTCCCCAATCAGTCTCCGCCCTCGCGCCCTGGACTTCGGCCCCATTCTATCAGGTGAGGGTGCAGGCACGAAAAGAAGACTGGGCACGAAAAGAAGACTGGGCCTGCCGCCCCACTCTGTCCCGTCTACTCAGTCCCCAGCGACTCGCAGGGGCTCGTGGGGCTGCGGTCCAGTTGCCGTGCTCCCCTGCCCTGCGCGGCGCCGCGCGTCTTGGTAGGCGCTGCGCTGCCGGGGCGGGGTCCTGGGCCAGGGCACCTCCGCCCCCAGCCGGACCCAGCGGACTGTCCTCCGCCGCGCGCCCGGCACAGCATGGGGAGGCGCTGCTGGCGGCAGCGCGTGCTGGCTGCCGCCTGTCTAGGCGCCGCGCTCCTGCTCCTGTGCGCCGCGCCCCGCACCCTGAGTCCGGGTGAGTGCTCGCCGGCCCAGCCGCGCAACCGCAAGCAAACGCTCCCACCGCGGCCTGACCCCTCGACAGCGGCGGGGACACCTGCCATCTCCTTCCTGGCTGGGGCTAGGAGTGGCGGGCAGGGTGGCTGGTGGGGCACAGAAAGGCCCTAGACGCCCCCACGAGCAAAGGCTCTTGCTCCTTCTCCGGAGTTATCTCCCTACTCCCAGAGCGGTGACTATTTGGGTCCCACAGCCGGTGCCTGGAGACCGGGGTCAGTTGTGGGGAGTAGAGGGCATTTGGCCAATCCAGGAAGGCCGTCTCCCTTACCTTCGCCCCCTTCCCCTGGGCAGCCGGGAGCCCCTGGACGTGAGCGCTGCTCGGCCCATGAGCATAGGAGGGGAAGCTTGGGCCACTCGGTCGGGTCCCTCGGTTGTCCTACTGTGCAGTGGGTGCCACTCCCTGCTCCACCCTGAAATCCACACCGGGTAAGGTTTGGGACTCCTGTGCACCCACCTCGTGGTCTGGCTGGGGAAACTGAGGCAACTAGTCATGACTGCAGAGCTGAGTGCCCTGGGCTCCACCGGTGCTGAGTCTGTGCTCTGAGTCTCTCCTCAGCTCATGTGAAGCCTCCCATCAACGCATTTCACACAAATCGAAGCAGGCCAGAGAGGTAGGGAGACGGGTGTGGTGGCAACATGCTGGCTACACAATCTCCTTGGGGCTGGAGGGGCCCAGCCAGCACCCCGGCCTCCTGACCTCAGGGCTGTTTGCCTTTCCTTGTATGTGGTATGTGTGCCAGGTGGGACGTCTCAGTCTGCCTCCCCACCCCCAGTGTGGGCTCTGAGAATCCTGGGCCCCACCCTTGGAACCTGGCAGACACAGTCCCAGGGAGTAAGTAACTAGGTCCAGGGTGGGCTGGGATGTTGGGCAGTGGGGGTGGGAGTGGCCCAAGACTTGAGGATATCAGGACTTGGGGAGGCCTCTGCCCACGCCCCCTGCCCCTCACACTGCCCCCTGCCCCTTGTGTGCCCAGAACACAGCAGGTCAAACCTGGATGCCTCCCCAAGCCCATGGGATAGGGCTGGGGTCTCTCCTTCCAACACCCCCACCACCCCTTCTGTGAGCTGGCTAGCGGTGTAGAGCAGACAGTCTCCTGGCAGTCTGGGGTGTGGACTCAGTGTCTGTGGCTGCCACAGCCTCTGTCCACCCAGTCATTCAGTGACAGATGTTTACCCAGTACTAAGACAGGGCAGGGCTTGGTGGCTACTGGCCCCTCAGGGCTCAGTGTGGGATGTTAGAGGACACCTGAGCGCCTGGGTCCTGGGGAGTGTCTGCAAAGGAGCATACATCTTTGAGTGACCGCATGGAGTGTCTGTGTCCCCATGTCTCTGTGGGATATCTCTCTCCAGTCACCTACTCTACCCGGGTTTGAGGGATGAGAAACAAGCCAAGGTACTAGTCACCTTCTGGGCTTTGTTCCTTCCGACCTCCCTCCCTCTCCTGCAGAGCCTGGGAAGAGACAGCAGGTGTTAGGAGGGCGGCTCCAAACCTCCCTTCCTAGCCTCTGTGCAGGCTGGGCTCTGCACCTGGCCTGTCCTACCCTTGGCCATGACCTTCTCACCCAGCGTCTCAGAATCTCTCTCTGTTTCTGTCAGGCTCTCTTGTACCTCTCCCATGGCCTGTTTCCAGCCATCATGCTTTGTGAGTGACCCTGGGCGAGCAAGAGTTAACCAGACCAACCTATCCAGCCTCTCCCACTGGCTTTTCTCCCTCCCAAGCCCTGAGCTGAAGTTTTGGCTGAGACCATGCTTGGGGGCCTGCAGGTGGCATGCAGGGAGGGCACTCAGCTGGGAAAGGTCTTTTCCTGCCAGGGTAGTCCTGCTGGAGGGGCATCTCCTGCCCTTGGCCTCTGGAAATGGCCTCACGAGGGCCTGCAGTGTCTCTGCAGCCATGCCTGAGTTGGAAGGGATGTGGTCTGTGCCCTGTGAGGGCTTCTGGCCTGGAAATGAGGGCTCCAGAACCCAGGAGGAATTTCAGCCCCTTCTCCCTAAAGGTCAGGCCCAGCACCATCCCCTCCTTCTCCAGAGCAAGAGGTGCTGTCATAAGTTGGGCAAGGGGCCACTGAAGGGCTATTGGCTCAGGCCTGGGGATCTTGCTGCCCCAGGGAGCTCAGAGACATTCTAGTAGGGGGAGGTGTGCGGCAGCCCCTCCACACCCACAGCCTCAGCCTCAGGGCTCCACCACCAGCACTGGCCTCATGCCTAGGGTCCCAGGGAGGAGGAGATTCCAGAAAGGTGGGGCAGCTGCCCAGAGCACCACTGCCCTCATCACCCCACCCTCACCCCCAGTGCCCAGCGGCAGCGCCCAGCGGCAGACCCCTGGGTCTCCTGCGGCCCCTTGGCTCCCTCTGTGTTCTTGCCTGGGCATGGTGGCCATGCTTCCCGTGGCTGGCACACCACGGACCACAGACCACAGACCTGTTGGTTGCCTGCTCATGCCAAGCATATGTCTAGGTGCTGAGAGACAGTGGGGAACAAAACTTAGAAATCCCCCTGCCTCGAGGAGCTTACATTTTTAATAGGAAAATCCAAGATCTCAGCTCTATGTCTTCTGCCTCTGAGACACTGGAGAGAGCAGTGTTGGCACTAGCCCCCTTGCCCCATTCCACTCCCACGGCCGCAGGGCTGAGCATCTGTCCCAGTGTTTGGAGTCACAGGTGTTCCTCTTGGAGCCAGGCGGGCCTCTGCATCCCATCCCAGCCCCTGCTCACCCCTAGGCAGGCAAGGAAGCTAAGACCGTGGGCCACCCGATGGCACACAGTGGTAGCCTCGGTGAGGACAAACCCAACCCAATTCAGACTCCCTGCAGCTGGGAGGGAGTGGGTCTGTGCCTGTGACTGAAAAGGCCAGGTGCCTCTGCCTCGGATAGGCATAGATCTTGGGGTTCAGATCATACCTCCAGCTGTAGTTTAGCTTTTCTCTGCCATAGCCTCACTCTCAGCTGCACAGTTCAGCAACTCCAACCCAAAGCCAGAGAGGGCTCCTTTGCCACTGATTCAAGCCAAAGTCCCAAGGAGGCGTCCATTGGCCCAGTCTGGGTCTCAAGTGCCCATCTCAGAGCCAGTCAGGTGGCAGGAAGGGCTGGGAGGCTGTGACTGGACAGGCCTAGGCCACATGCCTATCCTAGCAGGTGGCGGAGGCGGAGGGGAGCCTATCGGAATCACATGAGCTGAAGGCCTGGCAGGCTTCCTCCTCTGGTGGGTGGGCAGAAGGAGTGGGAGAGGCTGCTGGGGCCAAATTGGTAGATGCTCTCCGTGCTGCTGTCCATCTTCAGGTACTGCTGGAGTGTCCCAAGTTCAGAGGACGTCCAGAGAGTACCGTGAGAAGAGGCAAGCTGGCAGCTGGGCAGCTCTGCAGAACAGGAACTGGTAATCCTGTTTTGCAGAGGGGAAAAGATCAAGAGAAAGGAAGTTGCTTGCTCAAGTCAGGAAGTACGGGGCCAGGATTTAAATCCCAGCTGAAACCCCAAATCCTTTTTCTTTCCATTCTATAGGGCAGGGGCACTTGTGTTGGGCTTTGAAAGCTGCATAGGAGTTTAACAGGTAGGAAAATGAGGAGAGGAAACTGGAAGCAGAAGGAATGGCACAGAGAAAAGCATGGAGGAGTGAAATGGCCTGGGGTGTGAAGGGATGTGCTGTGGGTGGGGCTCTGGGTCCTCGAGAGAGAATGGTGGGATGGGAGGCAGGAAGATACTCTAAGTTGGGGCTCAGTCATGAATAGCCTTGAATGGGATGCTAGGGTCTGGGGTGTTCTTCCTATGGCTGTCAGAGGGCATCAGTCTTTAAATAAATAGTCACTGGCACTGGGCAAGGCACAGGGGTTACAGAAAAGCAAAAACTCTCCTTCCCTGTAGAACTGACCTTCCAGAGGGGTCAACCTGCACAGAAATCAAAATATTTCAGCAATAAAGACTGCTGTGGCTGGAGCCGAGTGGTGAACTGGGAAGGGTGGTGGTGTACTGGTGGGCCTGGGCGGGAACCAGGGTTTGCTGTAAGTAGTGGGAAGCCCCATGGGTTTAGAGATCACCCAGGTGGGGCGAGGAGAAATAGGAGACAGGTGAAGTGTCTCTTTCCAGTCTTAGTAATTGTCCCAGGGAGAGCCCTGGGGCCTACCCGGGGCTGGCTGGGGGCAGGGAAGGTGGAAGTGGGGATCCGGAGGGTTCTGGAGGCACAGCTGCCGGCACTGTGCCCACGGAGGATCTGGGCAGACTGGGGTTCCATTCCAGATGGTCTGTGGAGTTCCGCAAATGGAGTATGAACTAAATACACATGGAGGGATCTCTAGTTCTCTCCCCCTAAACAACAGAATTGCTTCTTATAATACGCGAAGGGCTTGTCCATGTCCCTCCCTTGGGCCTGATCCCCAGAAGGAATGTCCCTAACTCTGAGACATGCAGGTCACCCCAGAAGGCCCCTGGGGCAAGGAATGGGGCAGGGCAGAGGCCCTTGGAGGCCATGTGGGAGCCCATGCCTGCTGGTGGGAGATTGCTGGGGCCTGGCTGCCCTGCTTGTCTGCTCTTGCAACACTGTGACCTGCTGGAACTTATTAACCAGAAGCCAAGTGTCATCATCTCTGCTTGCTGGACTGGGAAGTCTCCAAACAGCATTCCCCTACATGATGGCTGTGCCCTCACCCTGCACAGGGCGTGAGCCCTGCTTTGGCTGAGGTGGGCGTGTGGAGGGTGGTGGGCACGCCGAGGATGATGGTCGTGCTTCTGTTGTAGGTTTCCAGTGTGGTGTTTCGCCCGGTATCTTGATTGGCAGAGGAGGCCTTGCAACATGATGTGTGCAGGTGTCCTTTGTGCATCAATCATGTGGCCTCGAGCAGCTCTCTCTGCTCTCCCTCCCTGGGCTGGTATTTCGTCGTGGGTCAGTGAAGTGGGGCCCACTGGCCTACGGGTGCCGTGAGGGGTGACAGGTGTCAAGGTCAGGATGAGGGGGCACCCAGAGGCAGGACAGC